TAAAGTGTTTTATTTAACCGTTAAAATTCCTTTATTTCAAGTTTTGTTAATTTATATTATTCCCGCCAAACAGATAGGAGAAGAGATGTTTATACCACATTTTTCTATAACTAATAAAAAAAAAATTGCTACTAAATAATCTGGAAATATTTCGTTACTGTCAATCATTTTACTTCCAAAAACTTAAAAAGGTCACGCCCTACTGAGTGACACGTAAGCAAACACTGTGATTTGTAATTGACAGTTTGTTATTAAATGAATAAGACGAAACCCTAAGAAATGAATGATTATCCGGTGCGCATCTAAATAAACATTTAAACTCCAGTTAAACTTTTGAAAAATAATTCAATTTACAACATGGTTATTAGATTTCAGCGTGACCAGTGAAAATATGACTAAATGAAGGGAGGTCAATTACGAAAACTTGAAATCAAATTAGACCAAATAATATCTTTGTTCCCGTTTGTAACTGGATTCATGTGAAAAGTTGACACAAAATTATAGTAAAGTGTTCTTAAATTAAGATATAGTATTAATTTTTTATTTATAAATTTAGTATTTGTAATGGTAGAATGTATGGCTAAAACAGGTGTGGATTCGTTCGCCACCTGGTCTAATATATTTCTTATGTTTTTATTGTTTCTCTGAATCATGACTTCGTCTATAAATCTGGATATTACATGCGTAGTAGGAATATCGAAAACTCCGTCTTGGTCACGAACCGACCACAGATGAAAAAGCCGTGATATTAATTGCGATTCGGTTTTAGGTAGTAGTAGATAGTCTGTAGAAAAATCCACGCCTGTCTATTGTCCTTTGTAAAAAAAAGTCACAACAATTTGCCCTTATTATCTTATTGAAATACAAAACGAGAGAAACGTACATCCAAACGACGAACGATTTATGATGGCATAAATAACACTTGAATCTGCCACAGACCGCCAATAAAACTACCGATTATTATTATCTATGGTTGTAATAGTAGGCCTGGTTGTATTATACCCCTACGCAATCGTTGGCGTGAATTAAACAACGGTTTATACATTTTAACAGCCATGGATTATTCATTTAACGCATTGCCTATTGCGTTAAGGCCGAAAGCCTGGAAAAGCTACAAAATTTTTGGACAGGCAAGGCAAAAAAGTGTGCCTCACCTTGTCTGAATGTTAAATTAATCAATCGAAGGAATAAACACAAAAATAACATGTCTCCCTATGGCTCAACATTATTAAAAATTATTATTATTATTTGTAGAATACTTTGCAACCAAATCAATACATATTATGTGAGTACATAAAACCTTCTGACCTTGTCATTAGAATCATAATTCTCGCTAGAATTAGCATAGGCCAGTAAGAAAATATCACAAACATACTGACTATAACAAAACTTGTTTTAACCTTACTATTATTGTTTAGGTATGCTTATATTGAGTACCATTTACGAGTTGAGAGTATTGATGTAGTAACATTCATAAGATAATTTTCTGCCAATACTTAGAAAAGCGCCAATAATAATATAAATCACGGTCACGCAACTCAGGACTTAAATAAAAATGGCCAAGTGCGAGTTGCCTTATGCTAAGAATACAATAAGATTTATTGTTTTAACATTTTAATTGTACAATCGTTGTTATTATAGGTACAGGTATAGGACCTATTCAAAACTATTTTGTATATACTCACTTCTTTTAATTGTAATGGACCCCACTTTAAATAATTTAAAAACTTTTGATATGTAAACAGACGAACAGGCAGACATCGAAATCTCACGATATGGTTCCATTTTTACAATTTAAGTACCTTAGTAAGGAACCTTACAAAAATATTCTTCTACAAATTATAGAGTACGGTAAGCTGTATTCTATTTTAAATGGTTAATCTATCTTCACTTGAAACGTGTTTTTTACATCGTGCACGGTTTTGTACATCTATGGATAATTGCAATAACATGTAAAAAATAATAAAGTTTTCAAACATCTATGGATAATTCAGTGTATAGAATCTGTGTAGACTCAAAAAAAAGTACAGTCAATAGAAAATTAACTGATAAAATAACGATCATTAAAAATAATAACAATATGAAAACTATGTATGTGTAATGATTTGTAATATTAAAACAAGTAAGGTGTTAAAACAGAATTCAGTACATTATCGATAATTTTTGTAATAAAATTAAGTATAAACACTTTGAAATAATAAAGAATGAATGTACCTACTTTTTACAATGGTACACATAATATATTAGTTATAAGGGGCACAAAAAATCTGTTTAATATATTAATCTCTCTCCTATCGTAAATAATTAAGGTGACAACCATAATTTTTAACATGAATGAATGTATACTACGCTACGCAAAAGGACGTCGACCTATGTCAAAGGTCAAGGTCAAATACCTTCCCAAAAATGATGTTATCTAATCATTTAATGTATTCTTAGTTTTACGTAATAGGTCGTTAAATCGCTAATTTTGGAAAACTTACTCAAATCTAATGATAATAAAATTAATAAAAAATCTGTGTACTACTGTGTACTGTGTTTTGTAAACATTTTTAACGATATCAAAGAAGGTATTTGTAACCTTCTCAAACTCACCTTTTTCATTCCCTCCGATTTAAAATATATCGACACTTCATTTACATTACAACACTATTAGACGACTTTCGTATCCGTAACGAAAGTGAAAGTGTAAGCTTTTTATTTACATGTGTGGCGTCAAAGCTTTTCGGTACGACTGAATGTAAGGACGTGAGAAGGTCGCTCGCGCTGTCGCGCATGCGTCATGCTGCTGAAAAATATTTCGTTTAAAATTTTCAGCGTACAAACATTTAGTGAGTTATGAGATATTTTCAAATTGCAATCATTACTAAGATCGGTAGCTTATATTAAGGTTGTTAGCTAAGTATGTATACATTATTATTTTTATTATTATTGTAAGTTAACAATGAAGGTAAAGATTTTAAACTTTTTTTGGAAACTGTAATTTTAATTACTAGTATATATATTTACATATTAATTGAATAACGGGTGTAACATCGCTTCTTATGCAACCGCTAAAGGATGTCATTCGTATTATAAACAGTTATTTTTACATACTATACATAAATTCGATTTCATTTTTGATACTAAATGTTTTTTTAAATGCGTATTACATGTAAACGTATTAACACACTCAAAACATTTAGCATTACATAACGATTACGCGATTATGGTCTTAATGTACCAATCATACTGGTAAATAATATGCAGCCAGGAGATACTTTAAGTTTGATTTAACGCTGTTACTAACGTGGCTGTACGTAAAGGGTGTATTATAACAGGGACCGGTAACTAAAATGGCACTTAACTTTTCCATTTAAACTTGATAATTTAAATTTAATTTGTGAGGTTAGTAATGTTGACTGTTAGCAATACCGACGATATTTTCAAAATTTTCTAAAATAATAATTATGGCACGAGTCACAATTTTTTAATTCATTATTTTATTACCGTCCTTCGATTTCCTCAAATGTGAAAACAACGCCCTCTGTTGTCCAGTCCGAGCTTTACGACATTAACAGTTTCAACAAACAAGTACGATAGATGACGCTTTATACAAAACCTACTAACACCTAGACTATTAAATAAAAAATTGAGGACCTATTTCCTACATATTGTGATTAAAGTCCATATCCAAATATGTTATTATATTTATAAATTCATATAGAAACTACTTAACAGAGCAAAACAGTAGATATTTATATTTTTGATTACTGGGCATACTCGGTCCATTTGCCTACTTACATTTAAGGTCGGTGACATTTGACCAACATTGGGCCTTTGCACTGGGATTCCGGATTAATTAATATTTGAACCTACATTCATGAAAATTTCATTATCATACATACATACAGTATTTAATCGTTTTTCGGACTAGACGAATAAATCAGAGTCAATCATATTCTTAAATATACAATTTTTCTTAATGTACAAATTAAGACTGAGCAAACTTAATGACTGAGACTCTATCTAGCTTTAAGCCTTTTATTGTACTTCTATAAATGAAATATGTTTAAATGCGATCAAGTTACCATAACATGGCAGCTCATATAACATTATTGTTCCCATATACAATACCCGACTGAGCCCTGGCACAACAGTAAAAGAACAATGTACCTATTTCCTGCCCTACCTTATTTATTTCTTATGAAACATACTGTATTTTATAGGTGAGGTACAAATTAAAAAGCCACAATAACAAGCTCCTTTTACAATTTTATTTATGTAAATTTGCAGATATAATTTAATACAAATTATGGTCATGTAAATTGGGATCTATGTTAAATAATATAACTATATCAACTGGTTAAGGTCACTGTATCACACTGCCTTCCATTAACTTCCAACCATTGTAAATTTTAGCGACTCATTCAAATATAAAAAGGCAGTCTCGGAATTGTGGTATTACAAATACTGTCTTACTCCCTACATTTACATAGTATGAGATTTTTGTGATAGTGATAAAAAGACAAACTTAAACTATGTGAAATGTCTACTCTTTGAATGGCTACAGTATACATGCGTGACATCTTAGAGGTTCTCACATTACGGGTGGCTTTAGTGCATTACTAAATCGACTAATGAATCACTAAAGGTTAATGTGGTGAAACCTATATTGTCTATCACCATACATCACAAATTTTTACTACCGCTATCTGTACAATTTTAGTTATTGGTGTTATCTGAATGCCAATAATGCTCATCTAGTATGATGCACTATATTTGAGCAGCATGTGTATTATATACATTGCTACTTTAAAAATACATAGTAATCTCTTTATCAGCATTATATTGTACATAGTTAATGGAACCGAGGACATCTAAAAATACAAGTAAAACTCATTCACAAATCCATAAATAAACTTTCAAATAAAACATTAAAATACTTAGTTACGGTGACACTACTGATTTTATGAATGCTAATAGGTAATTATCATTCACACATAAAAGAGAGAGCAGCTTCAATTATCCTCAGATTCAATTTGTTCCTGTTTAGTTATCTTCAACCATGGATGTTGGAGGCATTCATAGGCAGTGGCTCGCCGATTTGGATCAAAGTCTAACATAGGTTTTAGAAAATCAGCAAACTCTTCTGCTTCAGTTTGGCTCCATTCATATTTTTCAGTAAGGACAGATACTAAACCCCAAGGCTTTAGGCCAGTTATATTTCTTAGCTCACCTTTTTTATTAAAAAATATTTTTGAGTATTTTCCTGATGCCGCAATTCTTTTGGGAATGTCACCCAAAAGCTCAATAATGTGGGCTAGATGATCTTCATCTCTACTGTAGCCTTCTCCTGAGTGGGGTTCAAAAAGATAATCTCCCGTGGCCAGTTCAAATGCCATACAAGCTGTGCTCCATATATCGGCAGATGTCCCATATCCTGCACTAAGTAAAACCTCCAATGACCTATATTGTCTCGTTTGAATGTCCTCTGTAAAATGACGATGAACCCAGCAAGCATTACCTAAATCAGCAATCTTTACTTCAACTTCACATATGTGAAAGGCAGGATCTGATCTTTTATCTATTGATGTTTTGTTTTGGGAATTAAAGGAGGGAGGAGTGTCTGTCAGTTCACCCTCTGACATAGGTGTACCAGCATCATCTCCACATCCATACTGTTTAGTTCTGACCTGAACAGCATCCGCATCTGTGTCAAATGCCTCCTCATCAGCTCTCTGGACATCACTGCATCCATTTACAGTAGATTCAGTTTCTGACCTAGTCTCAACAACACTGACATCTTCAGGTGTTTGAGGTGAGTCATCATTATCTTGGGACATGGGGGCAGACTCACTATTATTTGATCCTTTCTTCTGCTCTTCTATCTCCTCTATTTGCTCCATCTGCTTTTTAAGTAGCATTGATTGCCTCTTAGCTTTTTTCTTTAACTTTTTCTTTTTGTTCCTACTCATTTTACCGGTAACAACTTGTTCTTGAAATTCCTTTGGTGCAGTACTAATAAGTGAATGAGGTAATCTGAGACCCAAGGAATGTAATTCAGTAGCTTCAGCTGCCAGCTTTCGGATATATGTCTCGTCAACACACACTAAAACATTTTCTGGCTTAATATCTGTGTGAATTATCTTACACTTAGTATGAAGATAATCCAAGCCTTCTAAAACTTGACGTATTATCGTCTTTACATTTTCACGAGGTATACCTCGATAATTGGACTTCAGTATCAACTTCAGAAGATGATGACCTAAGACTTCAAATACCATACATACATGAGTGCCATTAACACCAGTTATTTTAAAATCATTTAGTAATTGAACAGTTTTATTCCTTTTCGGATCTGTAGGGTCACTGTCTCGAACAGCCTTAAGTATTTTAATTTCATCTAAAGCAGTTTCAGTAAAATGTGGCGCAGACTTTACCACTTTTAGGGCGACGAACCGCTTGTCAACGAGGTCCCAACACAGCCACACAGTCGAAAAATGACCCCATCCCAACTTCCTAGTGACGTGGTATCGGTTTAGGAAAAGATCCCCAATTTTGACAGGATGGTAACCACCCTTACAATAGTCGGCACTATCTTCCTGCTCCTCGTCGTCGCTGGCGTACTGCTCGTCGTCATCTTCTTCTATGGTTTCATTAGAAGAACTATGGGTCGGTTCGAGGCGATTCTGATTTTGATTGCGCAGCCCGTTTCCTTGTACACCAGCGCCGTGATCCTCTTCTCGGGTTTTCTTCTTTCCTAATTTATGGCGTTTCTTTTTCGCCTGAATGGCGAGAACCCTCCTATTTACATCTGATTTAGAACTCATTTAGCAAATTACAAGACTCAACCAGTTGCGATCTAAGTAAATTTATCTTTTCATCTCAATCTTTTTGTTTGAGTATGGCGGCCGGTTGTAGACAGAACAAAATGCGTTCGAACAAGAAAATTTTCGGTGTTGCTATTGCAATTTTTGTTATAACCATAAATAAATTTATTGTGCAACTTTCGAAGGTTAGATTTTTTATAAAAAAAATAAAAATAAAAATGAATGATCACGTATTCGGTAAATTTCATATATTACAAAAAAAAATGACTAACTATTTATCTGTGGGTGACTCAAACATTCCACAGTTTTTAAGGAAACTTCTATAGATATTTAATATACAATAGACTAAGTTTTACTGTGAGACAGTCTATTTAGCTAAGCTTTTAAGACACTTCTTTTCAATTAAAGCTTTTGTAAATATTTTAAAGTATAATTATGGGAAATAAGTAAAAAAGTTATTTGAATTTCAATAACATTTATTTAAATCTATATAAATTATTTCACAATATTTATGACTTTAATTACTACTTATCAGTTTTACCAGTATTAGCTTGTTTTTGGTTCATATCAATTGCTCGTTTTTCCCTTTGAGCTAATTTTTTCATAGGAATTATAATTAATCCTCCAAGTGAAATAAATAACCCCGCCACCATAAAGGCAACGGGAAACCCAAATAAGTTTTTTATTAAACCTGCAACGGGTGCACTGAAAAAACTACCTAAACCTTGAAACAATAACATTATACCGGTAGCATTTGTTAAATTGTCGAGTCCATATAGCGAAACAATTATAAGGCTTCTTAGAGATGCCATACATGATATAAAAAATCCATAAATTACGCAGTAAGAATATTGGAAATACAAGTTGTATGACAAGCCCGAGCACATAGTACCAATCCCAGCTATTAACATTGCCATTATAAATAAATTTGTCGGTTCCACCTTCAAAGCTAATGTGCCCAATGAAAGTCTGCCAAAGGCATTCGACAAACCCATAACGCTAACAAATAGAGAGCAGTGCTGCGCGGGTATGCCTGCGTCTTGATTTCTTGTTTGAATAAATACATATGGAACTAGAAATCCTACGTATATAAGAAATCCTGCCGTGCAAAGGCACCAAAATGAGGATTTGCGTAATAATTTGGGGTCCATCATCGTAGCTAAAACCCTTCTTGCTGCGGTTGTAAAGACTCCCCTACGCTCTCGTAAATCTACCGCAGTTGCAGCTCGTGATACTGCCAATTGATATTCTAGTCCTGTCTTAGCTTCAGCTGTTGTGTCCATCTTACTTTTTTGATAAGCAGGGAGTTTTTGCAATTTACCGTCATAAAAAACATCGTCTCGGTACATAGGTCTAGATTGGGGAACGTGTTCTTCCCAGCGGAATAATCTTCCCCAAAATGAGGCCTTTTTTGGCTGCTCAATATTTACAGTCAGTTCAACTGTTTTTTTAGACTTATCCTGCATGCTACTTTTTGATACAATAGATTGAACTTGCTTCAGTTGTCTTGGGCTAATGCCTCCTTGTGGAGCGTTTGCTGTCAACGTGATCTTAGATACGGCTGCTGTTGAAGGTCCAGCCTGTGTCGTTGTGGACGGTACGAGGTCATCGACTACTGCAGCTGCTGTTGGAAAGTTTGCATTCGAAGCTGCTCCAAATAAACGTTCCGTGGTGGTAGGCATAATGCCCTCCGTTCTTGTCCGTGAAACAGTATTTTTTAGTGCCGCTGCTGATAAATTAGGCAAGTAGGTTACAGTACGAGTTGGATCTTCTGTAGTTTTTGCAACGGTGAATGATAATAGGGGTTGATATGCCATACCAAAGAAAAATATCAAACCGAATAATCCAGAATGAAATAACGTTGTAGCTCTCCATCCAGCTAATTTAGATAAACGGACATTTACTGATGATAATACTGTAACACCAAGACTTGAGCCAGTTGTTGCTATGGCGAGGGCGATAGACCTTAATTTTTCAAAATAAAATCCCACTACTAAACTGCCTGTCATATTTATTAGACAATAACCGAATCCAGCAAAGAAACCGTAAAAGACGCACAACGTTGCAAAATTCGTAGAAAAGTACGAAGTAAGTAATGAAAATGAACTTATAATAGAACCAGACATTGCACATGCTCTAAATCCAAAACGATTTATAAGCGCAGAAGCCAAAGGTCCCATCATAAAATAAATAGCTACGGCGATAGAGTTTACCAAGGGTAAAGTTGATACTGATATATTTAAATCGGTAGACATATCGTTTAATAGGCTACCAAATGTAAATGCCACGCCATCTAGAATAAAAATAATTGTAAACGACGCAGCAACAACTACCCATCCCCAACCTCCTTCTTGCGGTACTGATATTTGAGCAGCAATTTCAGTTTCCTCTCCTCCTTCGAGGTTGTCAGGGCGACTGACTACTCTACTTGGCGTGAGTAACAGGCTCTTTCTCGTCTCAGTTTTAACCAGTATAGGTTTCGGTGGCATTATTTTTGTTACTTATAGTTAACTTTTAATAAGCTTCTTCACAATCCATTTCTTCTATCGGTTGAAGTAACATATATCAAGTTATGCGTTTAAATATGATTTATTTGAATAAATATAATTGATAAATTTATTGAGAAAAATATAACATCGGTATCTGATATTATAGACTTGTCAAGAAGGGACGCAAAACAGAAAGCTTTTTATTAGAATTTTAAACAGATTATTTATAAATTTATCATTTAAACTTTTTGTCTGTGTACGCCTATTTAAATGTTTTTATAAGTAACGGAGAACAGCGAAAGTAAAGTAAATAGTGTGAAAGCAGTCTGTGTTGTTATCTATGTTGCGATATATTATCTGTGTCGACAAAACGCCAATGCAGAGATTCAGGTTACAAGTCAAAACAAAATTTTGCGCTTAAATTAACGGATTTGGAGGGAAAATTGACGGCTGTGTGGTTGTGTCACTGAGTGGAGCGTGGACAGAAGTGAACTTCAAAACTTTTCTTGGGATTAATAAGAGACGCAGGACATATTATATGTTTCTATTAAAGCATATTTAAATAATCACTATGTCTCAAACAACTCTTAAGACATTTTTCAATAGTCGAAAAAGACCTGCTACTGAGGCCATAGTAAGTTCTAAAAACAAAATAGCTCATATTGATCGTACTTTAGAGACAAGCAAGGCAGAAAGGCGTGTGCCAGCTAAAAGGAGTTGTATAGAAACTATTTCATTAGCAAAGGTAATACCATCGACGACAAAATTATCTGAGACGTCGTCGTCTGAGGTACAACATGCTCCCGTCCCGAAAAAAATCTTACCTTCAGAGCAACAGGAGCTTCCAGTCTTCACAAATAAAGCGAACGTTAACAACATAGCAAAATGTACAAGTAACACAAAAGAAATAGTTCAATCTGCAAGAAAGGAATTAAGCTTAGGAGATATAAGAAAGAAGCTTGCTAGCAGCTCAAGGTTAGCGGAATTAAAAGCATCAGCTGATAGAATAAGCAAAGGCATTCAAGAACTTAAAGAAAAAACTGAGAAAAAAAACCTTCAAGAATTTGGGTCAATTAATGTGGCAGTTCCAGAAAGGTAAGGCTCTCGTTTTTTGATATCTTTAAGTTTTTGTTTCATTATTTAAAATGAATATTTTTTTTCAGCCCTAGTAAAAGACGCATTATCCAGAATGAGCTCTTGTCACCAAAGAAAAATGATGACGACACAACAGCACAGAAACCTCTTATGTCCCCAAGAAAAGTATTTGTGAGTCCAGTTAAAAGTCCTACTAAAGTAAGTAATCCACTGTTGTAGCCCTAATATTTTTCTTGTTTTACTATAATTCATTTTAAATTTAACTATTAGGAAGAATATTTAATATATTAGGAAGTAAAAAAAATGAATTTCTTATAAATATAAAAATTGTAGTAGTCACGGTAAATTACAGGCTTTCAATATATTTTGACTACAATAAGATTGTTTTTTGCAGATACCTGCATATCTAAGACATGCATCACTAGCGTCTACATCTTCTAGCCCCCTGCCTCTGCCACATCACTATAGATTCCTGGCTGAACATTTCCGTGGCATGGAAACTGTTGTTGCTTTGCTTTATAACAGAAACGAAAAAATTACATTTGCAAAACTAAAGCCTTCCATCCAAGAAATGCTAAAACGGACATTTTCAGAAAAACATATTGCTCAGATTAAACATCTAGTCCCAGATTTTTATAACTTTGAGGTTCAAAAAACAAAGAGCTTTAATTCATCCGCCAACAAAGATGGTTATGAATTAATTATATCCCCCAACTTCCCGAATGACATTAAAGTAATGAACCCTAGTGTATTGTTAGAAAGACGAAGATATTTTTATGACACATTACTTAAAGTGGTTAAGAAGCACCATGCTCAATTTTTATCAACCCTCGATCCACCTATCAATATCCCAGATGAGAAATTGGTTCGTTGGCATCCTGAATTTGAAATTGAGAAGATACCTGAGATTGAATGTGCTAAATTGCCTGAATTACCCAATGTTGACAAGATGTCTTCTGCTCAAGATGTGTTGGCAAAGGCGAGACAATTATTTAAATGCAACACGAAAATGGAAAGGGCTTTAGAAAAGCTTGCTCAAGCGAAGGCCCGAGGTCTTACTGAAGAAGAAAAAGCAGTCACTGGTCTACATGATGCTCCTAAAGGTAATACTAGCACTGCAACCCAAACTAGCCAACCTTCTTCTAGCAATGTGACTCTTATAAATCCAGCACTGCGTAATTTGCCAGCGTCTTTGCTTGAAAAAGTTAAAGCTAAACAAGCTGCTAAGGCTTTAGAAGCTATGACAAGATCATCAGAAAACGAACAAAAGTATATGGTCTATACCCGCTTGCCAGATCTTGCTAGGACTCTCAGAAACATTTTTGTAACTGAACGAAAAAATGTTCTCGCCTTAAATATAATTTTGTCGAAATTAGACAGCAGTTTCAAATCCAACGTCTCTTCTAGTGATTTACAAAGGGATATAAAGATATTGACAGAAGTCATACCGGACTGGGTGAAATTGCACGAAATAAGGAATGCTACTTATTTGAAGTTAGATAAAAACACTGATCTTAAATCAGTAGTTGGTAAGTTAGAATCTGAAGCTAGCAAATACAAGATAGAATAAAATCAATGTAAGACTGATTTTCAATATATTCAGTCAAGTACAAAATGTATGTTAGACTTATTTATACAATCACTGATGGTGTTCTTATTGTATTTTGTGTTTTATGCGTGAATTAGAATATAACAACAGATTTGACATGAAATCTTTGATTTTTCAAATAATGTACTTGACAGTATATACACTATAATTGACTCTATAAATTATCTAAATCTGTATAGAATAATTTCTAAATACTCTAAATTCATTTCACTTCTATTTGTAGACCATAAATTCTAATAAGAGTTACACATTTGTATTATCATCAAGTACATATTAAGGTTTTGATTAAAAACATTTTTAATAGCTTAGTGTTTTTATTTCTGAGCACCAAAGCGCATTATAAAAATATACAATTTTTTCATAATTATCTTTCATAAAAATCAATGATTAAACAATTCATAATCGGGTTCTCCTCTCATGTAGCCTTCGAAGAACTTCTTGTACATGTCATTGGGTATGATATACTCTTTAACAATTGGATCCTTCTCCATATCTTTGATGTATCGTACCTGGTGATAAGAAATTGTTCAGTATATTAATTATGACGCAGTCAGCTTAATAAATTTTATAATTATTATTATAAGAGGTGTTAATTAAAAATGATTTCCCAAAATAATTTAATTATCAAATATGTTCAACCCATTCTAACATGCTCTGTGGTCTCACATAAGATTCAAAAGCTTAGCTATTATATAAATTCAAAATTGAATAATATAAAGCTTTGGCGGGCATGTCGGTTTATAGTAATCTATGTCTCATAATTAACAGGTCATGGGTTCGGTCCTCACCGGTACCAATTTTTTCTAATAAATTTATAATTTTTCTGAAACATGTTTACTTTGTCCGGAAACCTGGATATTGAATAGATGATAGTAATATCGAATCTCAGTCCTGTTCACAAGCCACTGTCAAATTTATTCGCGTTTCAGTCTGAATTTCCCCGATTGCTGTTATGTAGCTGGGGTATCTACCATCAAGTGACCTCCATGCTTGTCTGTCGTCCTCTATCACAAAAAAAGAGTTTGCTTGGCAAAAATGGCATAATAATAATTACCAATAAGGGATATTTTCTCTCACTGACAGCTACTCTTGGATCAAGCTCAGCTGTAACCGCCAGCCTTTCAAACCAGGGCCAAATCATATAGTCGGCGAAACCAGGTTGACTGCCATCGAGGAAGGTTGTTCCTCTTGCTTTTAATTCATTTTCAATAAAATTTAATGAGAACTCGTAGGCACGAATTGTTTCATCAGATATTGAGTCGCGAGCTCTTAAGACTTTGAAGAATATTACATGTACCTGAAAACAAGTTAATGTGAATACCTGTTGACCCTTAATAAAATCAATAAAATAGGTTGCATATAAAACAGGTGTGGATTGTCGCTACTAAGTCTAAAATAGCCATATAGAGAAATACGTAATAATTACCGCTATGTATGCGTTTTTAAACGTTACATGGCCATTCAAAGTGCAAGACAGCTTATTTTAAAAAAGGCTAATACTTAATCACGTATTGACCGCGATATGTGTTCTACATTTTTACGTTTTGATGTCAGTTATGCAAGTGTACCATAAATTTGATCTAGTTTTGTAGGAGAGTCTTTTCTGAGCGAGAAATATACTCTTAATATAAATTATTATTAACTTAGAATAGAGTTACTTCTGTAGAATTTATTTTAATTACGGCCTAAAGTTTCGAATGTTTTGTATAGCGTTATATTTTAGTTAACAGGCTGCTAACTAATATATTAAGCGTTAGCGTAGCGTTTTAACAGTTAAAAGTGCTTTTTTTTAATCTCAGCCGTTAAAAATTATATTTTTATCGTTCTTATAAGTAATTTTTGGAGATTAATATGTAATGGTTTCCTGTAATATTTACCGGAGTAATCATCTCTATAATGATTTTATCCTTCGCCCTTTTAACTGGATCCTTAGGCAGAAGCGGACGTTGGGGGAAGGCTTCATCGACGTATTCGCTCACGATTAAACTTTCCGTTATACACACTCCCTCTGCTATTTCTAGCGATGGTACTTTTCCTGAAACAGATTTTTTACCATTTCTTTTTATATATTCTGTCAAAGAGTTATTGCACATAATCGTTTTGTTTTACAGTACTTAAATATTTAAAATTAGAACTATTTTGTTTATATACAAGTATATAATTAAAAAAAGCAATTTTGCTGTTTACTCTAGTAATAATATATAGGTAAATAGGTTTCATATTTATATTATGGCCAATTAAACATGCCTTGTTGTAAAGAAATTAATATAATATGTACCTAATGGACTTTTGCTATTCAACCATTCTGGTTTATTGACAAGATCAATGTTAACCATTTCGTATTCAATGTTTTTCGCATTTAACGCAAGAACAGATCTTTGTGCAAACGGACAGTATCTCATGTTGTATAGGCGTAACTTGCCATTCCATGCTGGTACTGGGTCTCCTGTAACCAGAAAAAGTACAAATTGTAAAGCTGTCTGAATACCTCAAGATTTACTAACTCATAATATAACGATGTAAATAGAACATAAAATATATTGTATACAAATTGCTATATTATATATAAAAGCAGTATTCATCAACATATGAAGTTAGGTAAAAAGATTATACTTATTTTAAACTGGTTTCTGTCCAATTAAAAACATTCATCTTGACTTCATAATTTCATTTATAAATAACAAAAAATATTGTGAAATTCCTAATGCATCCAATATATTATTATTTAGTTGCCTAAAAGTAATTAGTAAGTATAAACTGTGATTGGTAATCTTCAGAAATATTATTATTTTCAAGATTTACAACTTACAATTTTCTTATACTATCAAAGAAGTAAAGTAATTAAACAATTGTAATCTAAGAATAATTAAACAATTTGTTAATTTTTTGACTATAGACAAAGTCATATACTTCAAAACACTGTAATAATTACCTTTTTTCAAGTGTTTCGTGTTGAAATCCATTGTTTTTTTAATAGCTTTGGACATCGCCCTGTATGGATACGGCAGCACAGTTTGCAGGATGCTGCTAACTGGTGCTAAAAGTCTATACGACGATATAAGTACGTGCATGGCGAAGCTTATTGTGCTTGTTATCATATTCAAAACTTGTTTAGATGGCCCAACAGAAAATTGGTCGTCACGACGATAAGATATATTATTATCTCATTCTTTTTAATGTTCTATACGTGATTCGATATATTTGTTTACTTCACTAACCTTCAATTTATAACCTCAAAATTCTTCCAGATCAGAAAATCAATAACATACATTAACTATCTACACGAACACATAACCAACATAACTACGACTTAAATGTTTAGTAAAGCAAATTCTTTAGCTGTCTATTGACGTTTTGTTATTTAGGTGTATGTATGTTACAGTGTTGACCTTGACCTTTGTAACAATTTACTATGCGTTCAACGTTCCTATACTTCTCTAACACGCAACTACAGTGTTATATAGTTAAGGCGTAATTAGCAGTGAATGAGCCAAATTACTTATTATAATGTTCAATCCTCGAGTTTATAGTGAAATATGCAGCATTCAAAAATTACTCTAACGTCATTGATACTTGTATTCTTGTGGCCTTGCCCTTATACCATTTAAAATGTGCTAAATTTGCACATAGATAAATATGGCGTCAAAGGATTGAACTCCTAACCTTACGGTTGAAACTATGGGAACTATTGCTCGACCAACACAATTCATATAGGATTGTAATGTTATCATTTGACAGTTAAAATGGACAAAAGACAAACTAGAATCTCTTCTAGTAGAGGCCTACTAGAACTTAGAAGAGTCATAGATGTACAATGAAAATGCCAGACTTTGAAAAGATATACTTTTTATTTACACAACCAAATGTTTGTATTAGTAATAAAATTGTAACATAGAATATATCACACTAATTGAACAACATTACAACAATAAATAAAGCTTAGTAAGATCTATTAACGGGAGATTCAAGGTAGCCGCTTCTAAGGAGTCTTCTTTTATTGTTAGGAATTATGTAGCATTAATTATTAATTTACTTACAAAATCCGTCATAAGGAACAAAAACACGTTTCTTCAATTATTATATAACGGTCAAATTTTCTCTTTTATAAAAAAAAAGGAAAGAATGTCTTTAAAATACTTTTCTTCTCTAAAAGTAGGTTTTAATGCACTTGTTTTCATACAATTTATCTCAACTCTACTTGGGATTTTCATCTGTTCGGCCTACATAAATAAAGAAATGGTTCTCAAAGTTTCACTGTCACAAGTGTATAGTATTAGTTGTTATATTCAGTATTCCCTCCTTAGTTAAGAAACAGCTCTAAAATTTGTTTGGAGAATATACAAATAATGAATTTAAAAAATAGCGCATTACTCCTTCATGACGGGAAGCAAAACCAGGTAAATTCGAGTTGTGCTGTCCTTGTCGTACATATAAGATTTGAAAGACACAAATATTACAATTTACAAACTTAGATTAACCTGAAGGGAAATTTAGTTACAATCTCACAATATTTACTAAACATAAGGTAATGTTAACTTAGAGATACATATTAAGTACATATAGTTTATTTATATAATAATGATAAGTTGATTTCTAGGAAGCACTATTTTTCTAAGCACCAGCATTTTTCTGAAGCTATAAAAGAATACAATAGGAATGTTTTTTTTTGGGAGTCTAACATTAACTAAATTACAACAATAACAGTGGCCTAGAATGAAAAAAAAGGGGCGATTTGAACACAAATACAAAGAACAAACACAATATATTGTTACAGGATATCTACTGGCTGAGAGCTAAGCTAGGAACTCCGAAGTTTTTCTTACAAATGGCGTAACATATTAATTAAGTTAGATGTAGAGCATCACCACCTGCCGTGTATTCGAAGTACTTTTAACATGAGAAAATTAGTGATGTTAAAATGAAGAACTTACTTATTGTTTTACACAAACAAAAAAATCTTAAATACTGTCTATAGTTTAAGCGAGTAGTACACATTTAAATAAAACACTAACGGTTTAAAACGCGATATATTAGTTAGACTTATTTGAAAATGATTTTTAACTTCGGCCCGACGTTTCGGATGCTTTGCAGCAGCCGTGTCCCCCCGTGACCACGGCTTACGTTAAAGTGTTTTATTAAAAAATAAAAAATCTTCACAACTCTTGACTTTTGTCCATAATGTGGATATCTACAGCTGCAGTTTTCAAAATTAATAACACCACTAATGTAAAATAATGATATATCTACAATAAGAAAGTATATTTTAGGTCACCGTAGCTTAACAGTGAAACGTGCCCACCTTTGGGTTAAGCGCACGCGGTCTTATGTTCAAATCGCAGCAAAACAACGGACATACTTGCTGGTAAATTAAGTAGATCAGTAAAATGGACACAGAAATGTCCCCATGTCCCAAAGGGGGAAAACAGGATTACACTGCTACATTAAAAAAAAAATTATTCATTTTGTTTTTAACTTGTATACAACGTAACCTTACCTACTCATAATAAAATATATTCAGCTTGATTCTCTTAAGCATTGCGTAATTATAATACTATTATTGCATTTGTACTGTACTACGCTAAAATATTACATATCGTGCTATAACTTACAAAATAATTAAGTACATAGTAACTAGTAATTTATTTTGTATGTAAGTTTTTGAACTTAACAACTGGAATGTATATTTGAGTATTGTCTGTTTATACGAATGGTACAAATTACATAAACTTTCCTCTATGTCCACGACACGAACACCCGAATAAATGAACTAATATTTCGCATTTAAAACAGTTAAAATTCTTTACTTTAATTTTATGATGAATAATTAAAAGATAAATGACTACAGAAGGTTCAATTGCATTATAACACATCTTACATAAAATTATTACAAGTCATTATCAAGCCATCATTTCATTTATGCATATTTAACAAAAAATATTTTTTTTGCTAAATTTCATTTATAATATTATTTTACAGCTTAGGACTAATTCACGTGAAATTAAAAAATAAGGTTTTCATTGTAAATTAAAAATCGGTTTTGGATTGAAAAGAATTCACGATACGGGCAGGACTTGAAACGACCTCCTCAGTGTTCGTAGTCCTTGCTTACCAATTGCTATCGTGTCCTACACGTCATCGTCGAATTTTGTCAATCTATTGCATGCATCTGTCGCGCAATGTTTCATTATATCCGTTAATACATATACTCGACACGTTTGAAACAATTAAAGTTGTTTTTTTTTATATTTAAAATGAGTATTTACTAATTTCAAGTGGTCATGAAGAGAAACATTGATTACGTGTGAATCATGCAAATAAAGTACGCGTTATGAATCACGATGATCATAGACTATACTCCAAGATAAGAGGAAATGTTCTTCAAGATCAGTGACGATGAACCTTTTGACCTGGTAAAATTGTATGAGAGCTAGGTAGGATGACCACAATTGATATGGATATTTATAATAGTGTTGATACTGCCATACAGATCTTACTCTAAACACGAGTTGAGTTAAGTTGCCATATCATGATTTTTAAATCAAAAAAAAAAAATCAAACATTACTTTTTATGTAGTTTTCGTCTTTTTGTGACATAAGCTCTTAAATGCATTAGTATATAGAAAACCATAGTCTATGAATGAAATATATAAACCTGCGGTATTATGGTTTCTTCTTGAATATATTCTGTAGGTTCATGTTGGTTTTCGATTGCTGGAACATCTGCGTTACTCGTCTCCCGACCTCCTGCGCTGCGTGCAGATTCGACGCCGGTTTGGGTGAGGGCACGCGCGGTGTTTCATTGCTGATCACATGCACTAAGGCCTCGATCGCAGGCTTGAATTGACTGAGGGCTGGTTGCTGTACACTCTCTTCCAGTTTCCTTAAATCGATAAATAGAAAAATATCATTGTGATTGTATCTCACAACATATGTATTCTCAATCTCAATACATGCTCTAACCAACACACGAATTTTTCAATTCGAACCAGTAGTTTTTTTTTTATTTATACCCGTTAAATTGTTAAATAATTTCCAGAGTTTAAATAAAACACTTTAACGGTTTAAAACGCGATATATTAGTTATACTTATTTGAAAATGATTTTTAACTTCGGCCCGACGTTTCGGTTGCTTTGCAGCAGCCGTGGTGACGGGGAGACATATAATAATTTTCAAATAAGTTTAACTAATATATCGCGTTTTAAACCGTTAAAGTGTTTTATTTAAATGTGTACTACTCGCGTAAACTATAGACAGTACTTGATTTCCAGAGTTTCTTTTTTATTTAAGTTCGTGCAACATTACATTAAATTCATAAATAACTAAAACTTATGCGTAAATAAGTATTTATGACTTACTATGACAGTACAAATATATATTATACAACTATGAATTTTCCTACCTATATGTGATAAATAATTAAAAAAAATGCAGTACAATCTAAAAGAGTACAAAATGGCACGGTAAGAAGAAACTTAATAATTATGTAAACCTAATGTTTTTTTATATGACACAACTGAGGAAAAAGTGTAAAAAGTATGTGTGTTACCTTAGAGCTGGTAAAAGTGCAGGATGATGAGAGCAATGATGAACAGCGAGTTGTAGTCCAGGTGTGAGCGCCGCCAGCCACTCTGCGGTCAGTTGCCGGTGACATAACGAACATAGTAATGATACCGCTGAAACAAAAAAGTTGCTTATTACATTTGTGTTAAATACTGTCTATAGTTTACGCGAGTAGTACACATTTAAATAAAGCACTTTAACGGTTTAAAACGGCTGCTGCAAAGAAACGTCGGGCCGACGTTAAAAATCATTTTCAAATAAGTTTAACTAATATATCGCGTTTTAAACCGTTAAAGTGTTTTATTTAAATATTTGTGTTACTTTGCAAGGTTTTTTAAGGTGTTTGGTGTTCGAAGGGCTTTTTACGTAGGTTCGAACCACACCGGGTCGCTTCCAAGTTCCAGTTTTATAATTTTGCTGAAACATGCTTGATTGTCGGAAGTCATGAGATAGAATTGTTTTTACGTTTCAGTCTGTGGATTGTGTATCCCGAATATCCAAGTCAGAATAGATCGCCCGCGTATCTCGTTTAAATGTTATGGGCTCTAGAGTACAACCACCCCGTTTAAAACATATATTGTATAAAATAAATCTATATAAATTAAAAAAATAATAATAACAGGCGGGACTTGAACAGACGGCCACAGCGTTCCGTGGTGCTGGTCTAAGCAAATGAGCTACCGCGTTCTACACATCATCGTCGAATTTTTTCAACCCTATATACCTTTGCGCAAGTTATAAAATGCCACCCAATACAATATGACGTAAAAATATTAAAGTGTTCAAACATATATTGTATACTTATAATAACTCTTAGTATGTAATTGTAATATCTACTATCTTTTTTGTTACATTTATTGATAGTTGTAATTTATATAATTTTTCCCTTCGGTATAAAAAATATGCTTGTCTGTAAGTTAAATACTTATGCGCTAGTTATATACGTAAATTAGATTGTATTGTATATATGTATTTAGTTGATAAGCTTTTAAGAACAAATAAATAAATCTACAAACAGTATAGTACCTGTTTCGGAGACAGCATGACTTTCCATTGTAGGAAGTACCAAAAGAGTTAATGCTTCAGAGGCTTTCGCGCCCTCCCTGCTGGTGAGAGGGCGAGAATTCAGCAGCTCTTCGAAGGGAGGCCAGCAGAGTGAGTGGACGGATGCACTGGTGTCTGAGAGACCACGCACGACGCAGATCCTAGCGACGCTACCCCATGCTGTTATAGCTGCTTCGCGCACAGAGCTTAAAACAAGCGATATTAAAGTTAGACAACTTGAACACTAGTATTGTGCATTTTTTCAACTTGGCAAAATACTACAACAAACATGGCAGATTTGAAACCATAGAGAACTAGTGATGCCCTTTTATAGAGTGTAGTCGTTACCACAGATGACACAGGACTAAAGAATATTTTATCAATTTGAGCATGACATTTTAGATTATACAAAGTAAATATAAGATAGTTCATTAGCTTAATATATCCAGTGTCTCAAAGTGTTTTAGTGTAAATCAATGTAACGAGAGCTGGCACCAACAAAGGGACATTTCGCCAGGCCCAGGGATTGACCATTACACCAAGAAGGCAGTTGCAGGCGACGTATTAATTTTAGTAAAACACTTTTAAACAAGAACTTTATAATTAACTTTAGTTAGCCACCGTTACTATAGTTATTGAAAAGCATCCCGAACGTTGGGTCACAATAAAAAAAGCAACGTACTTCGCGTTTTGAACTGTTGAAAAATGTATTTTTTGCATGTAATACGATTTATAAAACCAAAAGTTTTGTCGTTTTCTTTCTTTTAAATAAAACACTTTAACGGTTTAAAACACGATAAATCTTAGTTAAACTAATTTGAAAATTATTTTCAACTTCGGCCCGACGTTTCGGATGCTTTGCAAAGAGTTTAACTAATATATATACCGCGTTTTAAACTGTTTTATTTAAATGTGTACTACTCGTGTAAACTACAGACATCATTTTCTTTCTTTTCATTTTCATATTTCATCTTCTCTTCTTGTTCTAAATATGGTACTCACGTGTCGTCATCATATAGAAGCGTAGTGACAGCTGGCAGAAGCCGTGACTCGAGGCATACGTCGCTCACATGGCTCGTGTTGAGCAACTCGCTGAGCAGCATCGCTGTATACACGCGAATGCTGCTGCCGCTCGAACTGTCGCGACTTCTTGCTGCAACTAGATACATATAAATAATCAGAAATTAGTTCTTAATTATAATAAAATAAAAAAGTATACTGTCTATAGTTTACGCGAGTAGTACACATTTAAATAAAACACTTTAACGGTTTAAAACGCAATATATTACGCGAAACGTCGGGCGGAAGTTAAGTCATTTTCAGATAAGTTTAATATATTGCATTTTAAACCGTTAAAGTGTTTTATTAAAAAAATATATATCAATTACGAAAATGTAGTTGGTGTACCTTATTTTTAAATGTAACATAGGCATCAACAAACAATAAAAAAATCTAATAATTATGTATTGTCGTTGAATGTACCTCCCACCTTCTTTACTTTCAAAAAAATACCAGCCACGACTGCTAAGCAGAATAGGGTTTTGATATAAAAAGGAGTTAAAAAAAAAACGGTTTAAACTGTTGTATTCTGTTATTAGGTGTAGGGGAATCAAACAAACTAGGTACCAAATATAACAGAGAATTTTCGAGAGGGACTTATAAGGAGACGGGGCTGGCCTCTCCTCTTATAAAAAAAGGTATTGTCATTTTCGTGCTACATAGTTAATTTTGTTTTCACAGATACATCAATAGGACATACGTCAGTTATAGTCATATTTAAAGCTGAAGAGATTTCTTGTTTGTTTGTTTGAACGCCCTAACCTCAGTAACTGCTGGTTCGAACTGAACAATTCTTTTTGTGTTGGTAGAATATTTATCGAGGAAGTCTATGGGCTAATAGGAGCGACGAAATAGTGGGGAATGTGAAAAAATGTGGAAAGGGAACAATGTAACAAACATGTTGAATATTTTTTAAGTTCACTTCAAGAACGACGGGACGCGAACGACGTGGTGGGTAATTTATAGAGGTGAATATGCCCAAAATAATATTCTACTCGGACGATTTGCTGACACAGCTGGTATAAGCATGAAATGTATATATATATAACATGATTAAGTGTTGCGAGGTGAAAATAACGAAATATACAGAGGAATCGGCAAATTCGATGTTATTTATCTTATTCAAAATAGAATTATATTTGTTTAACACGCTTATGATCGATGTGACTTAAAAGATAATATCTTAGTAGTAACTTACAGTCTCTAAGACATTGCAAATAGAAGTCTAGAACATCTGGTCGATGCTTCGTTAACCACTTGAAAGGTATAGACAGCATTTTCGTAGGCAAACTTCGTATACTGCTGTACAGAACCCATCTGAAATAAAACAACGAAAAACATTTATAGAGTGGATTGAGACACGCGCGGGACTCCACTTCGTAGCGTTATGTGTTGCTATTGTTAATTGTGCTGATGAAACAGATTATTTATTTTATCAAAGTCTAAAATTAAACCTACCAATTAAAAAACCCTTTGGGGTTAAAACGGGAAAAAAAAAAAAATTTTTAAAAAATACATACAATGTATTGCAGTTGACAGCTTAGCATTTGAAAGTAATAGGGTTTAAAAGAGCATTTCCCCCGGCCCGGGATTCAAACCCGGGACTAAATTATCGACAGCTGAGTGCACCCTACACCAACACGGCAGTTAATATTGATCACGCATCACGAACTCCGCGCATGTCAGTGACCAAACGAATTCGATATTACTTTAATCTTTCGTTATTGCGATTTACAATCTATAAAGTTTTATCAAGATCTAATAAGTTTGTGATTAGGCAAAATTTCTTTGAAATAGATAACCATCTATCTATTCAATGATCCGTTATGATGTTTCAGCACTTTCTGTAGCTTATACACATTTAAATTGTGCGTTTTAGATAATTAAATTAACGCCGTTGCATTTAGAAATATTGTACTTAATTAATTTTTAAGTACGAACTGACCACGGCTGCTTAAAAGCATTTAAAACGAAGAAAAAAGCCAGAATAAATAAGACCCACAAGAAACGGTTTAAAAGTGAAATGTATTAGTTAACTTATTTACAATTTACTTAAACTACTGCTACGAGGCATCCGAAAAGTCGGGCCTTAGTTAAAATAAATTAAAAATAAGTTTAACTGATACATTGCGAGTTTTAATCCGTTAAATGTTGTTTAAAACGTGTACTATTCGCCTAAACTACAAACAATACTTAGATACATATGACTTTCTTTTGACAGAAAAAAAAGATATTTTAAATTTTATTTTGACACGAGAAATAGCTTGTTTGCCCATTACTTTCAGGTCCAAAGGATGGAAGAAGTAGGAGAACAAACTGACATGATAATAAGTAGTATAAATTAAAGCTTACTTCTGTAGGAATTCCGCCCGTTGCGCAGTGTCCTCCACAGCAATTATAATCGTCACTAAATAAATGCCAACCACGATTACACTATCGACATTCACTGTATGTAACTTCTCCAATTTGTTCTCCAGGTCATTTATAATTTTCATAAATATTGGCTTGAGTATTTCACTAGTAAAGTGTGCCCCAAAATTGTAGACGTAAGTACTGAATAGTTCTATCAGTAGTTCGTATATCGCTGGATGGCTCAACACTCTGTTTGACGTCGTTATTTCTAATATCTGCTTGATTCTGAAAAAAAAACGTTAATATACTAAAGCCCCCAAAGTTTAACATTTTGCCTATTACGAGAGGTCCTTGCTTCGATTATCTGTGATCTAATATGTATTTGTAAAAAACCAGTGAAACAGACACTAAAATGTGTTCACCCCATGTCTAACTAGGACGAACGTGATTTCATGTAACAATATTAAAAAGGCCTATAAGCCGTTTAAAGAAAACACTTTAACGGTTTAAAACGCGATATATTAGTTAAACTTATTTGAAAATGATTTTTAACTTCGACCCGACGTTTCGGATGCTTTGCAGCAGCGGTGGTCACGGGGAGACACGGGAGGGTAAATATCGCGTTTTAAACCGTTATAGTGTTTTATTTAAATGTGTACTACTCGCGTAAACTATATACAATATTTGCTTATAAGCCGATAAAGAAAAATAATAGCGGCTGTTAACGGCATGTATTTCACATTTTTAAATACTGAAAAGCATGATTTTCAGTTGATTGAAGTTAAAAACCCCAGCCGCATCTCGTGTCCTGTCGACCTATTGTGGCGTTTCATATTGGAAAATCCACAGAAATCGAAACGCAGTGTGTTCCTCCGAACAAAACGATATTCCCATTTTTAATAACAATATTTTTGAGATATGTTTAAGATCAATTTATTTAGATTAATGGTGCATCGAGTGGGAATCGAACCCACAATATGTTATTTATTTGCCATAAACTAGAATACCTTAAATCAATGCGTCTGTTAAGCCCTTGTTAATAAGAAAGTAAGATTTTAAAAATTTTGAGACTTTTCCTCTATCTCTAGTAGTGGCGTATGTATAACACATCATTTCCTACCTCGTTTAAATCGACTCAGTACTTTAAGCGCTGGAGCATTCAAACATACATAAACTGGCTATTATAACACTCTCTCTTGACATGCCGTCATTTAGTGTTAATGTAAAGATGACAAACAAAATAATAAAATACTTTATGACTACGAAATTATAACTGTGACTTGGTGTTTCTATAAATATTACGATAACAAAAAGCCGATAAGAATACATAGCTTTTTAATTAAAATTAAAAGAAATTGGGACTTCAATTTATATAATTTTGTGCAATTATAATTGGTACTTTTTTCAAGCTACTAGGCTTAAAAGTTAAATAGATAATATTAACAACTCAATACCCCAAATAGCTTGTAAAAATATCATAGATATTCGCCCTGTGACTAATACAAGTGAAGATATGTGATTTTTTTTAACTCTGAATAAATAATTCAACAACTTTCACGTTTCGATAATATTATCAAAATATTAACACGCACAAAGATTTTGTATTTAAAATATTTATATATGTGAAAAAACTTTGCGTTTTTAAAGGCTTCGCTAATTTTGTAAGTGAGGGTTTAAAAATACCCATACAAGAGGATAAGCTTACAAAAAGGAAAAGCATATGAAATTGAACCTTAATACTAATAAATTAGGTTTGAAATTACATTGCACTAGAGGTCCCACACATTATTGAGAATATCAACCGATCAGCACTTCAATTGTCGTGAGTTCGAGTTTCAAGTTATTTATTTTTTCATCCTCTGTAAAATACTTTTACTTACACATTCATGAACCATCCTAATTCTGTCCACCTGACTTCTGGAGTATTCTTTAGCAAAGAATTCATAGCCACCAATAGCATCTTAGCATCTACGCTCTCACTCATATAACACTGTAGGTCCATAAAGCTATCCTGCTCGCACAACAACACGTCCTGCAAGTTTATCTTCGTATCACAGTTCACTGTATCCTTAACTATTTGTACGTTAATAACATAAGCCAGCTTCGCTATCACCAATACTCTTAATATATCTATATACAATAGTACGTCTGTCCATACGTTATCTGTACACGATTTAACTAAATTGGAAATTATCCGGCTGTAGAGGGAGGAAGAAAACTTTCCTGAAACAAAACGAAAAATTCACGTAAATTTTTAGTACGAGGCAACAATCAGTATTAAAGCGATAATATTCAACGTACATAACTATGATGTAATTAAATGAAAAATCTAATTTAAATTGAAGAAAAACACCACAGTGTACCGTGCTGAGTTTCCGCAGGTACTTAAATGTTTTTACTAACATTAATTAATAATAACAATAAGGTGAGGAAGAGAGAGAGCGACTACTATAAGCAAGGAAGGTTTTTGTCTCTTTCTAAAGGTTTAAAGGAAACTTTTACGAGTCGAATTAATTAAAAAACACTTTGAAATTATAATTATATTAGCATTACACTTAGTAGTCTTGAATTTTGACTTACCAGCAATAAGCGCACTCCTAGCTAACACAGGAATGAAATAATTAACAGTATCCTTAACAATCTTCTCCACCGGGTCCTTTAGGAAACTGAAGAGAATATTCTCTAGCTGCCCATACTTGTGATCGGCTATTGGACAAATTAGACAGGCGGCCTTTAGACCTAGGGAGCGTATCTCATTTTCACTGGATTCACACATCAGCACGACTAGGCTCAGAAGTAGGGAAGTGCAGAGTTCGAGAGGGACGTACGGTGCTATAGCCAAGCATATTTGACTCGCCAATACCCTTCGTTCTGTTGATCGACTGGCCAGAAGTTCTGCGATCGACGATAGAACTTCTCCACTTCCACCCCACTTCACTATAAGGCATGCGGCTAGAATAATAAAGAACTGTTGTTAACGTGAGTAGTACATATTAATAAAGCATTTTAAACGGTTTATAACGCGGAATATATTGCGGATGCTAAATAGTGACGTGTTCGTTAGTGCAACGGGTCGTGGGTTCAATGCCCACAGGGACTGAATTTTTCATCAATTTATACTTTTTCTGTAATTTTTTTTATTATTTTTATTTTTCGTGAATATTAAACTTCGTCTGGAAATCTGGATATTAAATGGGTGGTAGGAATATCACAATTCTGTCCGAATCACGGAGCGACATCTACAGATGAAGTGATGCAGCGAACTCTGTCTGTCTGCACCTGCTTGTCTATCCTACTCTATCATAAATAAAAGCGTAAAAAGCGTAATTTGTTAGAGTAAAATTAAGGTTTCATAAAACAAGCTCAAGATATTGCACTACAGAAAGTGCAATGGTCTGTACCTTCGCATATAACTTTGGCATCAGTCGGGTCTGGTTTCTTAAAAAGAGTAAGAAGAGTGTGTAGTAATTTCGATCGTCGTGTGTCGGCGGGCGGCAGCAGAATAATAGCAGCAGTTAGCAGTGCAGCCGATTCACTACGACGACCCACTAGTATGTGAGGCAGGATCTATGTAGAAAGGTTTTGTGAGAATTTTGTTTTTAGCATTATCTGTCCCCTCTAAAAACGAAACTTTTAATACCAGACAAATTTATTTGGCATGAGTATTGTTTTAAACCTTCACAACATAATCAACAATTTAAAGAAATCAGTTGTAATATGTTAACAAATATAAGTTACCTTTGGTAATGTGTCAGCAACAAGTTGTAATAAAGCTGGCAACACAATTGGTTTGTCATTATTAACTAATTCTGTCAGAAGATCATTAGACAGGGGTTCGTTGATTTCCAGGGCTTCATTGCACCAGCTTATCAACAGCTCCTTTAGATTACTTGGTATTGCACTAAAACGGAAAGTTTCTATCATAATTGAGGGGCCCGTTGATCTAATGATAGCAATATATGGCTGTATATAAGGTTAATATCAACGGGTCGTGGATTAGATTCCCACTGGGTCCGACATGATTTTAAATTTTTCTGAAACACGTTGGACTTTGTTTGGAAATGTTAATATTAAATGGGTGGTAGATATATAAGAATTCCGTCCGAGTCACGAACCACCGTCCAAACAAATGACAAAGCCGTGAAGCTTAATCAAGTTTTGGTTTCAGTCTGTGGATTTCCAAATATCCAAAGCCAACATAGATTGACAGCGCATCTGTTTAGATAACTTAAATAATACCAACTATTAACCTAGCTTAAATATGAACTTTTTTATCAATTGGTTAAGAAAGGTTGGAATACTTTTTATAAAGCCAGTTGATAACAGAAGAAAAAACAACACAGGATAACTTAAGTGGCTGTGTATCTATTTGTTCTACTTCTTTTATTTTATTTATAATCTTACCTCTCAATCCAAGCCTCCTTGTTGTTATCAATGACATTGTAGTCATAGTGCAGACGAGTCCACTCTGCAGCATCATTCATGCTGAGTGTGTCATCGAGTGTGGTCATACTACCTCTGTGTGCTGGTGTGCCACGGCCACTGTGGTCCAACAATGCTGGCTCAAAAGAACTGGTATTTGACCCATCTTTCTTAATCCTAAAATAAAAAGATTTAAATAACTTAGAATAGATATTATATCTCAATCATAGTCAAATAATAGATTTTTAATATGTAATTTTTTTATCTTCATAAAATATTGAATAATTATTAGTTTTCTGTTATGGTGTTACTTTTAACAGATCTCTACGTTTACTATTGAAATACTGTCTATAGTTTACGCGAGTAGTACACATTTAAATAAAACGCATTAACGGTTTAAACGCGATAAATTAGTTAAAAACCATTTTCAAATAAGTTTTAAACCGTTAGAGTGTTTTTTTTTAACTAAACTATTTACAAAAAGTAAAACTTGAAAACTTATCGAGCAGCATTTGTTGTTGTTTATAACAAGGATTGTTCTTCTTAGTTAGGGAAACACTTACGACAGACAAAGTTTCTCATTTTCAATCATTTCAAACTGATCAGGAGTTGCACTATGCGTAGAATTACTGCTTCCATAGTGATTTTCAGCAGCCATACAAGTGATAGGCTTCTGGTCTGTCTGACTATCAACTCTTGTTTGTATAGAATCCAACTTATCACTTGGAATTTGTAAATCTAGACCATGCTTCTCTGACGCTGGACTTGTGAGTGAATTAAGACTTACAACAGCGGCATCGTAAAGCTTTTGGAAATTCAGCTTTTCCGTTTCTAAAGCTATGATTTTTTGTTTCAATAAATTTATTTCTTCTGCCTGAATTAATATCTGCAAGTGACATTATGTTAGTTCCTAGTCATTTATTCAAAAGAGAGAATAACAAAAATATTACCTCGTGATTCCAATCTGCATCATGTTCAAGTGATGTTTGACAGCTTACGCACACATTACCATCATCTAGCTGTGTCTGACACTCCGCATCTGACCAATAGTCTTTGTCATACTGGGTGAAAGCATCATGTTTTGGAATATTTACAGAAGTATTGCTCCCTCTAAACAAGGATACAAGACCGGGCGGTCTTGGCATGTTTAGACCTACATCATCCCAATCTTCAAATTCCTGTAAATTAAGATATATTAACCTTAATCTGCAATGGTTCAGGTCAAAAAGTGTTGCCTTGAATTGTGTATAACTCCTGTGGTGCCGCAAATAATATACATTATTTTTACATATCATAATCAGAATAATTATTCTCACATATTTAGAACAAGGGAAGGGAAGACATAATATGTCAATTGATACAGAGATGTGTCTTTCTGTCATAAAATTTAGTTATTAACATAATTTATATTTTTTGTAATGAATACTTTAAGTTCAAACAGCTCATTAAAATAATATAAATATCAGATATAAATAATTATTAGTTCTATTAACTTTTACAAATTTTTGAATACAAAACCACTCACCTGATTTGGATTCTCATCTGAGAATGTAATGCTTGTTAATTTGTAATCTTCTAGTAACAGGTACTCATTTATTAAAAAGTTTAAGGCTCTTTTCTCATGTGGCTTAAGAGACTTTGAATTTAGGTTGTCTTTTAAATTTTTATCTAAAGTTGATTCTCCGTCTGTAGAATAAATAACATCTGTTACACCTATAGGTCCTACTTAACTGTTGAATACTTTGTTAATATTTCTATGTAAACAATAACAAACGTCTTCCTTTCTCCTACCTGCAAACTGAGTAAGATTTGCTCTTAAAGAATTTATAGTTTCCTTAGCTTTTCTTAACTCAAATTCTAAGACGGCAATATCTCCACCACTTCCTGCTCTATCTCCTCCCCCATCTTCAGAATACCTTGCAGTATCAAGAGAATCTAATGTTGCCAAGCTTGGTGTGCGATCTATTAAGATAGTTTAATGTTTTTTAAGAGATAAAGTATATTGGGTGTTAATACATGTAATATCTATATAACTTACGCATAGAATTCATTTCCGTTGCTCTAGAAACATGCTGTTCAAAATTTCCAGGATTTGAGAAGAATTCTCTTAATTGGGGCAGTTCTTTACCGCTTTCTACTAATTCTGTGTGCAGTTCTAAGGCGGTCAAAAAGTAGTGATCTTTTAATAACTTTGTAGCAATATCTTCATAAGCAACATGAGGAACGGCACTGAATGAACTTTCTTCTATATCTTTGTAGGGATTCATTTTATATTAGTAACTAATTCTTCGAATTTAAGTATAAGAACTCTAACATCGCCGACTATAATATTTTCGAAGGAATCAACTTTTCATGTTTGAAAGCTTTTGAATTCTCACTGGTTTTGCACGTAGAGGTAATAAATTTGTTAACTCTTTACATTTTTTAAAACATTCTAAAGTAGATAGGTACCAATAAGATTCTTAAAAAGGGATTTTTATTATTATATGACGTATGAAGTATGAATTCAACTATTATTGTTATTTACTATTAGATATCTGTTACCTATTGTAGACTATAAATGATATTAGGGATTTGTAATCTGTGGTCTATAATGTACAAAGATAAATTGTGAAAATCTTAATAAACCTTATCTGTGTATAAACCTTATCTATGTAAGTATATGTGGTAAAATTATTTATATTGCAATATTGCCTCAATAATATTGCTAAAATAAAGCATTATTATCAATATCATTTTAATGTATGTTTTATTTTAAATAATGATTATTTTAATCTTATCTTCTCATCATGGCCCACTGTCAATACTACAATTAAGATATTGCGCGTGATTAGGTTAAAAAAAAATACATTGAAATAAGAAAACAGTTTATTTTTTTTATAATATAAAATATAGCTTAAAAATTATAGTCAAACGAACATCGTTACCATGAGTATTTTAAGTACGATAAAACTAATTAACACTAAGTAATTATTATCTAATCAAGTATATAGTTCGATTTCCTTTTCCTTTCGACTACAAGGAACACTGGCCACTAACAAGCATATTATATTTAGGATTACCCTTCAGACGAGATTCTATAAACATTGCGTGGATTTCTGGGCTCAAATAGTAGGTTTTTACTGCAGGGTCATTTTTTAAAGCTTCAATATACTTTAACTGTAAAAAAGTAACATAATATTATAATGAGTAATAAATACTTTATATGTTTAATACCTATGTTTATATTTTTCAGACTTTATTGTAATGTTAAAAAAGTTTAAAAGAAAATAAAAGTATCGTCACATAATACTTGACAAAAGTTATATGAACTAAGTACTTACCAGAACACTATATTTTTCTTCTGTAATAGCTAACTCAGGTTTTCCCAATAATGGTAACGCTAAAAAGCGTTGTAAAAAGGGCCAAATTGTATAATCAACTAAGCCCGGTTTATCTCCAACTAAGAATGTTGTTCCCCTAGATGATAAATCTTTTTGCAATATTTTTAGCCCCCGGTGGTATGCTTCAATGGATTCTGTAGTTAACGTGTTTCTATTGAATGCAACTGTATAATAGGTGTCTTGAACCTTAAAATAAAAAAAATCGAATAAATAAGAAAATTTTTACTCGGTGTCCCTCTAACGCAAAAAAGGTCATGGATTCGAATTTCAAGAAACAAACAAATTATTAGTATTATAAAAGATTAGAGCCATTGTAAATTAGTATAAAACTTGGTGACATTTATAATTTTTTTCAAGTTTAAGTATCTTTTGATTCTTGTGTAAATTAAAAAATAATAAAAGCTTTTTTTAATTTTTCGTCAAAATTTCGTTTTCTCATATGGTTCTAATTAAAACAAATGTCATCAATTTTATTGTTTGCTCTTAACAATGACTGTTACAATACATAAGTTCAAAATTAACGAAAAGATTTTTATTTCATTCAATTTTGTAAACAATAACATTATTTTTTTCGATAAGTAATAAATCATTTTTTGCATTTCTGGACAAGTACCAGTTCTGATGTACAAAATCCAGTTCAGTATGCAAGTCATACTGATAAGACGCCGCAACCAAATGATTAAATATACTCACAGTTGATAACAATTCACAAACAATTCTATCCTGTGCTCTTTTTAATGGATTGGATGCCAGAAGGGGGGGATCGGGGTAGTACTCCTCTAGATAAGAATTGATTATACCGCTTTCAAAAATTGCTTTGCCTTCTTCGTATTCTAAGATGGGTACAGCTCCTAGAACAATTATTTCAAGGTTAACCATTATATTTTTACCATTACATTATTTTTTAGTGTTGTGACTTAAGTTTTATTTACAAATATGTAGCTTTTAAATTATTTCAATTTATTCTTAAAAATATGCTCTAATGAGTAAATTTATAATTTTTCAGATAGTTTATACAGAATTAAAATAAAAAAGGTTATTTTTAAATATAATTAATTTTCTTTAATTTTGCTTAATTTTCCGACTTAGATTTTTCGAGAACAGCGTTAACTAGGTATGTAGCGAAAACGAGAACAGACTGAGAAACATTGCTTTATAATAAAAAAAAGATTAAGTGGGTTCCTAACAAGGCTAACTGAGAAGGCTATATTGTCGTATAAAAATATGAAAACCGTTAATAATTGAAGGTTTTTACAAAAAAAAATCATAAAAACTGGAAGTCGGTTGATCTCATGACTCACAAAGGAAGTATTTGCATTTAATAAACATAAATAATTCGTTCTTAATCTTTAAGGAAAATAATTCATCCTAGCTCTGCTTACATTATATAAATAAAATAGCTAGATGACGTGTCCGTATTATAATGTTAAATGAAATACATTTGCAGGAAAATAAAAATATCTTCAAAAAACGAAAACGCAATAAATTTATTTTTAACCTAAACGGTCCTTACCTTTTGGGTTAAAACGGAAAATCCACTCCGGCTTCTTATGTAGATTAATAAAAACTAAGTCATACTTAATTTTTTTGGCATTTAATACCAGGATACATCTCTCTGCGTATGGGCAAAATCGCATTGCGAACAACCGAATCCTTCCATTGAAAGGTGGTAGGGGATCACCTGGAAAAAACAATTTTTATTGTATAAAATAGTAACGTTAGTACGACGCTAAAATAATTACGACGTTCGTGTAGCAAGTTAGCAACTTAAAAGGTTCGTAATATTTCTCTTATGTTTCTGAAAAATTGAAAATCTTAGCACATATTTGTTTGCGGTGTGGCACCACAAACAAATATGTGTTAAGATTTTCAATTTTTATTTCTTTGGTTCACTGAATATGATTTTTTTTATTTATTTTTTAATAAAAAAAAATATTATCACATTAAACGTAAATAAATATTACGCTCACCGGTTTTCAAATGTGCTTCCGACATTATTGATCGTCGCAAAAATATTTGTGTGTGCAACCTATAGCTTAGCTTTATATATATAGATCGAAATTTCGTTGTGAATTAGCGTTAATCACCGTTTAAATCTAAAGATAAAATGTCATTCTGTATCGGTTAATGAATTTATCAGTTTACGAGGGAGATTCCACAGTTGATAATAATTAACATATAGTCATGAAAGTTGGATATTACTTTCATGCGTTTTATTGGTTCCGTACCCTATTCATATTTTTTACTCAACAAGTTCTTGTCGGCTGAAACCGAAACACGACTAAACTTCATAGCTTTTCATCGGTGGCGGTAGTGACAGGGACGGAATTATCGATATACATTTAATATACATATTTCCACACAGTCTACATGCTTAAGAAAAATTATATATTGATAAGAAACACGTCTTCGCTGTCTACTATCTCAAAAGCCGCGATACCTAGCAAATTAGACACAATATAGTCTACTATAACGAATTGAATGTCATATATTTTTAATGTTCTTTTTAAATTAATAAATAAAATGACTACTCGTAATTTTTTGCTGGATACGAATAAATGTTAACAGGTAGGCAGTGAAAATAATTAGAAGTAGCTTACAATAATATAACCCAAGTGTGACCCATATTGGGTCTGAATCACTTACGTTTTTCGCTTACAATTTGGAGTTTCCAATGGTTTTCTCATTCTATAGAAAATTATACAGGAAATTATGAAACTAAAGAACAATGGCCAATTTTCTATAGGCACGGTACCTTGTAATTATTTTTGCGACCAGTAACAAATTATAAGGGATTTAATTTAATTTGATGTATTAAATACGCCCTTCTAAGAAAACAATTCTTAAAAAGCCAAAATAATCAATTATTATCGTTAATATATAAATAAATAGTTTTTAGGTTAGAATCAATAAAATAAGTTGAATGTATGCCTATATAAAATGTAATGTCGATATTAATCTAATTGTCGATGACAAATCGTTCCGTTACACGGAAATTATTAAAATACTTTAACTTGCTTTACACATACAAAAGCAAAAATAAACATAAATACATTAAAACGGAAAATCCACTCCGGCTTCTTATGTAGATTAATAAAAACTAAGTCATACTTAATTTTTTTGGCATTTAATACCAGGATACATCTCTCTGCGTATGGGCAAAATCGCATTGCGAACAACCGAATCCTTCCATTGAAAGGTGGTAGGGGATCACCTGGAAAAAACAATTTTTATTGTATAAAATAGTAACGTTAGTACGACGCTAAAATAATTACGACGTTCGTGTAGCAAGTTAGCAACTTAAAAGGTTCGTAATATTTCTCTTATGTTTCTGAAAAATTGAAAATCTTAGCACATATTTGTTTGCGGTGTGGCACCACAAACAAATATGTGTTAAGATTTTCAATTTTTATTTCTTTGGTTCACTGAATATGATTTTTTTTATTTATTTTTTAATAAAAAAAAATATTATCACATTAAACGTAAATAAATATTACGCTCACCGGTTTTCAAATGTGCTTCCGACATTATTGATCGTCGCAAAAATATTTGTGTGTGCAACCTATAGCTTAGCTTTATATATATAGATCGAAATTTCGTTGTGAATTAGCGTTAATCACCGTTTAAATCTAAAGATAAAATGTCATTCTGTATCGGTTAATGAATTTATCAGTTTACGAGGGAGATTCCACAGTTGATAATAATTAACATATAGTCATGAAAGTTGGATATTACTTTCATGCGTTTTATTGGTTCCGTACCCTATTCATATTTTTTACTCAACAAGTTCTTGTCGGCTGAAACCGAAACACGACTAAACTTCATAGCTTTTCATCGGTGGCGGTAGTGACAGGGACGGAATTATCGATATACATTTAATATACATATTTCCACACAGTCTACATGCTTAAGAAAAATTATATATTGATAAGAAACACGTCTTCGCTGTCTACTATCTCAAAAGCCGCGATACCTAGCAAATTAGACACAATATAGTCTACTATAACGAATTGAATGTCATATATTTTTAATGTTCTTTTTAAATTAATAAATAAAATGACTACTCGTAATTTTTTGCTGGATACGAATAAATGTTAACAGGTAGGCAGTGAAAATAATTAGAAGTAGCTTACAATAATATAACCCAAGTGTGACCCATATTGGGTCTGAATCACTTACGTTTTTCGCTTACAATTTGGAGTTTCCAATGGTTTTCTCATTCTATAGAAAATTATACAGGAAATTATGAAACTAAAGAACAATGGCCAATTTTCTATAGGCACGGTACCTTGTAATTATTTTTGCGACCAGTAACAAATTATAAGGGATTTAATTTAATTTGATGTATTAAATACGCCCTTCTAAGAAAACAATTCTTAAAAAGCCAAAATAATCAATTATTATCGTTAATATATAAATAAATAGTTTTTAGGTTAGAATCAATAAAATAAGTTGAATGTATGCCTATATAAAATGTAATGTCGATATTAATCTAATTGTCGATGACAAATCGTTCCGTTACACGGAAATTATTAAAATACTTTAACTTGCTTTACACATACAAAAGCAAAAATAAACATAAATAATCGATATAAATCTGACATTATTAACGTTATCTAACGATAAATTCGATATGCTACCTCTAACGATACTTTCTGAACAAACAGAATAAAAAAATCCATCTTATTGCCTAGCTTTATTTCCTAGAGTCAAAAATAACAGATTTTTTATATATATATTGGTCGTCGTCATGTACGATATTGCCATTGTTCTTTAACTGCGTAACCTTTTAATATAATTATTAAATAGTTATAACTTACATACAAAATGAAGCTATTCAGAATGATTCAGCTTAAGAACTTTATTAATCAACTCCACTAGAACTATGTTGTAGTTGTATGTAATGGCAAAAAAGGCTGTTTTAACCAGAGGCCTTCTCTGTATTTAAGCTATCTTCTATCATAACCTTCTATAGGTTACCTGTATATGGTTTTGCCTAGTGTTATAAACCCTTTTTAAAATCTTATTATTTTTAAAATCCAACAGGTTTATTTATCTAAATTCGTTATATTATTGTTTTACATATATTACAAATAATACGACTAAGTAAGTACACATACTTTATTGCACCAAATTATTTTGACAGCCTGTGAAGGTAAAAGAAAAAAAATCAACATAAATGAGATTTCCAAGAACGGAATATAGGTTCTTCTTGCTTTACGCCTTCTTCTTTCGTGGACGGAAGCAGCAGACATCACTAGTATCAAGCATGTTAGTATCAGGGGTGCCCTTGACACGAGATTCTATGTACTTAGCGTGGGTTTCTGGAGCTAAGCAGTATACCTTCACTGGAGGATCATTCTTCATAGCTTCGATATACGTCAACTGCAAAGATATATGAATTAGTTAATTGTTCTTTGAATATTATTAAATTTTCTTGCATTACTTGCACAAATCAAGGTCATGATACAACAGAAACAATGAATTCTTTTGTTAAGATAACATGTGAAAATGATTACTTTGCTATTTTCATTTCATAGATATTCATTATGACCAAGCGTTATATTGATTATGTTGGAATTAACATGATTGCGATCTTAAGAAAGTCTAAGCCGCTTAGTGACGTTGAAAAGAAAGTCAAAGTCCAAATCCTATCACTACAATCAAAATGAAACCTTTTGATTATCAGTCCTGTGTTTATCAAAGCTATAAGCAAAAGTTTTTATATAATGTGCATCACTGTACTTATCAGCCACAAAGACAGAAAGGGGAAATGGGTAGAATGGTCAACGAATGATGTAGACTGATCACCCCGCTTTTTATCAGTGTCCGTAAGAGAAACTACTTACCAATGCTGCATATTTTTCTTCAGTGATAGCAAATTCAGGTTTTCCTAACAGCGGTAAGGCTAAAAAGCGCTCCAAATATGGCCAAATAGTGTAATCAACCAGTCCTGGTTTGTCTCCAGCAAGGAATTTAGTACCTCTGGCTTCAATTTCCTTCTGTAATACCTCTAAACCACGATGATAAGTCGGGGTTGACTCTGGTGTTAGAGCTTGAGCATTGAATGCAGCAGTGTAATATGCTGAGTGAGCCTGAAAATTATGACAAATGTCATAGATGGTTTTGATATCATTTAAGAATTTCTATTAACTTAAGATCTTAACACTATGCCGTTAATAAGAATCTAATAAGATTTGTAATAAAAATAAAACACTTTTACGGTTAAAAACGCGACAAGTATTATTTAACATATTTACATAGGCATAAAATTAAAATTGTTAATAAGTTAATACACTTCGCGTTATAAACCGAAGCGTGAACAACAGACAATACCTAAAATTTAAATTGATGAAATAAGTGAGAAAAAATATTAACACATATGTTACAGTAACTGGAGATCATTTTATATTATTGATATGCATTTAAAACAGCTACGGTGTAGATAATCTTGTCATGACAATGATAACATGAAGGTAATGTGTATAAAGTGTGTGTATCCTTTCTTATTTACATGTGTGATAAGCAAAAAATAAATACTATTCACTATTCAATCAAAAAATTATCAGTTATATAAGAGAACCCTTAGCAAAAAAAAAAAGTCTATCAGCACCTTGATAGTATATCTTAATTCTATGATAAGTTACCGTAATATTACACCTGTTGGTGGTGCCTCACTATAGATAATCTATATTGTGTTAAAGGAATGTACGTACAGAAGATAAAAGCTCCGCAACTATCTTATCCTGTGCTCTTTGTAATGGATCTGATGATTGCAGGGGTGGTTCTGGATACTTTTCATCAAGATAGGCATTGATAATAGCACTGTCGAAAATGGCTTTACCCTCTTCATACTCAAAAATTGGCACTGTGCCTAAAAAAATTATTAAAAAAAAGAGACTTAATTATTGTAGTCCTTAATGTAGTACAACATCCTTTTAGTACCGCTGAAGTATACATAAACTTACCTTTAGGATTGAAACTGAATATCCACTCAGGTTTGTTATCTAAATCAATATGAACCAAATCATATTCAACTTTTTTAGCATTTAACACTAAAATACTTCTCTCTGCATAAGGACAAAAACGCATTGCAAATAGCCGCAATTTGCCGCTATATGGTGGTAGGGGATCACCTGCAAAAATTATATTATGTCAATATGATTAAATTTGTCAAGCTATTGGTAAGTGAATATAATATAGTTATATTAGTGTACATAAACTTAATTGTAAGAATTCTGAATTTTTAAATAAGTGGTTTCCCCGTCATAAATGTTTCTAGATAAACGAGATGAGATTGTTTTGAGTTTAAGGCCTCTCGCGTACGTGTTACTTACCGGCTTTTAGGTGCTTTTCAGACATAATATTAATACTTTTGGACTGTTGAGTCAACTGATAGAGATAAAAACTTAAATATTACTTTTCAATATACTAATGTTAAATCGACTTTATTTTTTTATTAGTCCAGAATAATTTATGTAATACAACTTAGTTGTAATAGAGTCAAACGCTTTCTGCTTCTGGCTCTGAACGTAAAACGGTAAAGAGAATGTGTTGGGTATTTTAATTTCTGATTGATAACTTCGTACTTGAGTCTGTAGTAGTGTATAAACAGATATAATATCGGCGATAGACTATAAATAGGCTGATAACATCTGTTAATTTGTGAGGTACTATATAGAAAGCTATATTTATATCTATAGTCTGTACCGTTTGAAGACAATTTCAGCAGGTTATACAAATGTAAACTTTCAATCTGTGGTATTCTATATTCTTTCATCTTTGGTTTGAATGTAAACAAAAAGAAATAACATAAAAACCTTTAGAATATTACGAAAATAAGACTTAAAATGTATATATTTTTTTGAATAACAATCTGTTTTACTGATTTTCTTTATTTAAACAGTAATGACGGAAGCATATATTAATTTGAAAAGGAAACTTGAAGAGCTTGGTTATAATAATGCTTTACCCGTAGATGCCGTAAATTTAGTAGAATGTATTTTGGCTGATTTGTTACAAACTACTCGAAGCCTCCAGCATTATATGAAGGTCTCTAAAGAAGCTTTACTGCAGAGAGATACGTTACTATCTGAATTAGAGCCATATAAATGCGATAATGCTAAATTAATACAAGAAAACAATCAACTTCACCATGATATAATTCGGTTGAAAGAGGAACACTTGAAAATTTTACGGGAAACTCAAAGGAAAATTAAAACACTATCAGATGAAGTCATCAAAAAAGACAGTATTATAAGTAAATTGCAGCATGATGTGAGAGATTTAAGTTTAAGAGGTTTATGTGCTGAAACACTTAGCAGCAGAAACCGAAGTAAACGAAAAGATGCTGGTGACAATGAAGCTTCAAAAATCTGTGTATGTCATGATAAAAGTAATTTTGATAAAGATTTGACAGAAAAATTAAGAATGATTCAATCATTGCAAGAACAGGTAGATTCTTACAGTGACGAAATACATTTACTTAAAAATCAAGTTCAACATAGAGGTGATGAGATCACACGACTAAAAGGACTCTTAGAAGGAGGTAGGCCATTTAGTGCAATTACTAAGGAATATTATGGTGATAAACCGGAGGATAAAATATTATGCTTCAAAAAACAGTTTAAAGAACTAGAAAACTGTAATGAAGCATTAAAAAAAGAACTTGACAAGGGTCTTGAAAAACAACATGAAGCTATGCTGAGAGCTCTGGACCTTGCTGATAAAAACAAAGCTTTAAAAGATGAATTACACAAAATGGATACTTTAGCATTGAAAGTAGAAGATGATTGTAATAAAAGGCTTAATGAAATGACAAATGAAATTATGCTTTTACAGAACAAAATTGAGATCTTAACATTAAAAAATTCTAAATTAGAAAAAAGTTCATCAGATTGTCAGTCTATAAAAAAATCCGAAAACTACCAAATATACAACGGTGATAGCAATAACAATGTTCTATACAATGAAATAAAAGACTTAATGCAGTCACACATAAACTTATTGGAAAAGATTTCATCTTTATCTCAAAACACAAAATATCATCAACATGATAATAGAAATTCAGATTTTAGTCCAAAATGTCTCACAAAAACAGACTTGCAAAACATGTTACAAGATGAGAGGCAAAAATATGAAAAGCATATAAATAGTATTCAAGAAAAACTAAATGAAACTATTAATTTGTTCAGCAATCAATGTAAAAATCCTAAATCTATTAGCCCTACTTCTGATAACTCTTTCATTAGAGACCTACATGTGAAGTTATGTGAAAGTGAGCAAAAAATTTTATTGTTAAAAAAGGAAAATGACGACTTGAAAAGGATAACACTTCTTCAAGACGAAGGTAACAAGAATAATTACAAAGAAATTATAAAGCATTTGAATTTAGAAAATAGTGAACTATCAAAAGAAAATATAGAACTGAGCAAACAAATAAATCAACTAAAAACTAATGGAAAAGAATGTAACCGAAATAATAACTACATAGTTGAACAAAATAATAAACTGCAGAAACAAGTAGATATGTTAACAAAAGAAATAAATTCACTAAGAAAGGATAGCCAGGAGAACACCATGCGTTATAAAGACATTTTGGATGCATGTGATAGACTGAAAAGAGATTTAGTATTAAAGCAAAGACAAATTGATCAATTAGAAGAAGAAAATTCCTCCTATAAGGTTACAAATAGAACAGGAAAAGCATCAAGTGAAAGATTAAGAGAAGAGTGTTGCACATTAAGAGAACAAATAAAAAAATTACAAAGTGATTTAATAAAAGAAAAGACTGTTGCTAGTCAAATTAGAAATTTGCAGTTAGAAACAGAAAGAAGTACTACAGAGTCACAAAGTGAACTGTTATGTACTCAGAGAAAACTAAGTAATGCTAAAGATGCTATTGAAACTCTGGAAAGAAAATGTAAAGACTATCAAGCAGAGATCTGTGTGCTTAAAAGTGATAAATCCAATTTAATAGATAATATTAAAACGATGGATAAAGAACGTGACAGACTTGTTTTAGAATTAGATCAAAAAACTGAAAATGTCAGTATGTTAGATCAAAAGTTGAAATCTCAGCTATATGACATCAGTAAATTAGAAGGCGAACTTTCTGATCTGCAACGTAAATTTAATTTGAGCAAGATTTCTGAACACAAAATCACCGATTATGAGTCACAGATTTCTTTTCTGAACGGCGAAATACTAAGGTTGACCCAGCAGTGTGATACAGCTGCAATAGAAAATAAACACTTGCAAAATAGTCTAGCAGATGCTAACGGATCTCTTAAGATAACAAAAATTGAATTAGAAAAATCAAGGAGAGAGGTGGATGGTCTTAAGCAACAATTGCAACATTATGTCGCTGAAATAAGGAGGATAGAAGAACTTCTGTCACAAAAGGAAGCTGAAAGATCAGATATGCTTGAACACTTTGCAAGTTTATCAGTTGAAGCAAATATTTTAGAGAACACCAACCATTCATTAGAAAGTGAATCAGCATCAAAATCGTTACAACTGCAGTCATATATTTCTAAAATACAATGTTTAGAAGAAAAAGTAATTGATAAAGACAAACTTATTGATAGTCAAGCAGCGAGAATTGCTACCTTGACATGTAATATAAGTTCTATGGAGCAAGAAATACGATTAATTACCGAAGAAAAATCTGTTTTAGAACAGAATGTACATTACCTTAAAAAGATGTGCCAAGGTCTTCAAGTTAATCAAAAGGCAAGTATAAATGATACAGATTCAGAGTTAAAACTTTATGAAAGCAGAATAAGAAATCTTTCTAATGCAAAAGAAAAACTAGAATTGGAAAGAAAGGAGTTAACAGAGAAAATATTAACTACAGAAAATTTGTTAACAAATGCAAGAAAAGAAATTATTGAATTAAAATTAGCTTTGCAAGATGCTACTACAGAAACTAAATCATTACAAGAGCGTGTGAGTACATTTAATAGGAGGGAATCAGATAGTGAGGTATGTCACAATAAGTAAATACATGAATATTAATAATGAAACAAATATATTAAAATCTGTGGTTTGTATTTTTTTTGTTTCAGAATGCTATTTCAAGAGAAGAATTGGAATTACCACTTATTTTAGACTCAACAATACATGAAGAGAGTAATGAAGATGATAGTACACATTTTGAACACAACAGATACTCCCCTCTATTCAGACACGGAAGTACCTTATAGTAAATTGAATTAATGCAATTTTGGATATGAAGTTGGAAAAACACAATAAACTATATATCAAATCTTTTATTCAATGTGCTGTTATATTACATAAATACATATTATACATAGGACAACATCTAACACTAATTCTATTGATATACTCCATATGTATTATAATTACAATATTGTAAACCTTCACAAATCTATTTAGAGAATACATAATATAAACTATAACAAACTTAAGTACCATAAAGAAATATATGATTCTAGAGGAGACAGAGATACCAGCCTTGTGCTAGTTGAGATGACTCACCATGACAAATTTTGTCTATTCGGTGGGATAACACAATTTTGGGTGCAACTTAACAGCATCCTTGCATAAAAACATTATACTATGGAATGCTTGCCTTAAAGTATGATGATAAATTCACAATTTAGAGTTGTTAGCACACCAAGTCTTAAACAGATAATTTAACTAAAGATGTGACTAAAGGTACACAAAAGATGGTTATAAAAGTCTAAATCTTGAGATAAAATTCTCTAATTTTAAAGGCTATTTAATTACAGTAAGAATGTCATATCACTTGCTGTAGTATTGCACTAAATATTGGTATAAAATCTAAATATACTTAGATTAAGTTATACCTACAAACAAAACTATTAACAATAAAGGATCTATAGTCACTGAGTATTTTCCATTTACACCATAATTCAATGAACATGTATGCTAAATACACTGAAAACAAAGTTTAGCACCATTCCTCTTTATTAATGAATTTTAATTGACATAGCTTAAAATATAACATACATTCAGTTTAAATATTACAAAGTTGCCAAAATCCGAGTAAAGCCAATCCCAGCCCCAAGTATAGTCTGTCCTATCCCCCATAACATGGCATGTATTGGAGGCATAGTAAGGTTAGCTGCACGGTATATAAAGGCAATGGCTGCACTACTAGCAACACCTGATGTTACCGGGCTCATAACTCCCATAACTATTAAAAGTACTGGAAAGAACTTTCCATATTTATGTTTCCTTAATGTTCCAAAAGCAACTAACGCAGCACAAGTATGTACAAACACTGAAGAACACAATGACCACAAAAACACTGGATACCACATTTCACCAAATGTATCTAAGGGGTCAATTGGAGTCAATCGTAGTATATCGACAAACGAATCGAATTCCGATACTCTGAACTCGGACAACATGTCATACATGTTGTCTTATATAGCTTAATGCATAAAGGCATCGGGATTGATAATATCCTTGCAAAGTTAATCAATAATTCACTGCGATGCAATTAATATACAACTTTGACTCCCTTCGTCTAATGTCTTCGTTTAAGAGACAAGTGATGTTATTCCATTTTTCTAACTATACATATTGCTCTTCTACAAAACTTTTATTCGTTTACCCCAATATCATTAAATAAATATAATAACTATTTTGAGAATAATATTGAATTCTAAAAAACTATTAAGTATGTATTTGCTTTTTGGCTTTAAACTTTTGACTTTTCAATACTTTTGTTATAATATATGTGACAAACATATTATCAATTGTCAGTTATTTGACATTTTAAGCTCTTCTTTTTCTTAATTTGATAGCTTTGCCCATTTTGCTGAATGAATTCTTCCAATATCATGTTTCCATAAGAGGAATGACAAGGCGTGATAGTATATATTGTTATTGTTAATTTATTTTTTAACAACGATATTAAGAAAAATGCGGTATTTAGAAGAATGTATACTTAAGAAAAAACTTTTAAGTTCTAATAGAACTAAATAACTGTAAGTCATGATTTTGACAACTGACATTATACTTTGACTGCGCTGTAGCCTGAAGTTAGCTTAAAGTAAGCACTAGATTTATAGCGAATTGGTATTGGGAAAACGATTTACCTTCGATTAAATTCATCTTTGGCAACAGTATAACTGATAAATTCCGCAGAAAGGTGCGTATTCTTTTAAAATTTTATAAGCATTTTTAGTGTGAGCTACGGCATTTTACGCGAATACAACAAAAACAATATTTAGTAACTACAAAAAGTAACATAGTGAGTTCTGTGAAGTTAGCTACTAAATCCGACATAGTATAACAATAAGGAATACGTCAAATGAAAGTGACCGTGTGTGCTTATAACCTTCAACTTCGAAGACTTTATCGAAGTGCACGCTTTTAAATACTAATATTGTTATTCTAGATTTTAAATCTAACGTAAAATGGGTAAAGTGCGGTCGACGCCGGGTGCCCCCCGGAAAGAGGGCTTCAATAAATCAGGGCATTCCATGAACCCTGATCGACCTACAGAAGGACTAAAAGGTGTGGGTAAACCTCGTACCAAAGGCACTATTAAGCGGCTGCAGATGTACAGAAACTTTAAAGCTAAAAGAGATAAAACAGGAAAGATATTGACACCAGCACCATTTCAAGGCTGGGTACCATCAGGTACACAAGCAAGAGTTGAACCTAACCAAAAGTGGTTTGGAAATTCTAGAGTTATATCACAAAATGCTTTACAAAAATTTCAAGAAGAATTTGGAGCTGCAGTAAAGAATCCATACCAAGTTGTTATGAAACCTACAAATTTACCAATTACTCTACTAAATGAAAAAGCAAAACATGCTCGTGTTCATTTACTTGATACAGAAGGATTTGATAAAACATTTGGGCCAAAGAAACAACGTAAGAGAGTTAATCTTAAATTTAGTGATTTACAAACATTGTCGAAAGCTGTTGAAGATAGTGTTGACAAATATGATGAGAGCAAAGATATTGATAGAGTTCGTGAAGATACCGGTATGAAAGATGGACAGAGGGAATGGATATTTGGAGCCGGTATGAGTCGCCGAATCTGGAATGAGCTTTATAAAGTCATAGACTCCTCAGATGTATTGTTGCAGGTACTTGATGCTCGTGATCCTATGGGGACAAGAAGCCCTTATGTAGAAAAATTTCTCCGGGAGGAAAAACCACATAAACATCTTATTTTTATACTAAATAAGGTTGACTTAGTGCCTAACTGGGTAACCCAAAGATGGGTTGCTATTTTAAGTGCAGAGTACCCTACAGTAGCATTTCATGCATCTATGACACATCCTTTCGGTAAAGGGTCTCTTATAAATTTACTGCGACAGTTCGCTAAATTACATATTGACAAAAAACAAATAAGCGTAGGCCTTATTGGTTACCCAAATGTGGGTAAGTCTTCAGTCATAAATACATTAAGAGCAAAAAAAGTATGTAAAGTAGCTCCAATTGCTGGTGAAACTAAAGTATGGCAGTACATTACTTTAATGAAAAGAATATACTTAATAGATTGTCCAGGTATTGTTTACCCATCAGCAGAAACTGACACAGAAAAAGTGCTTAAAGGAGTTGTAAGAGTGGAATTAGTTCAAAATCCTGAAGATTACATTGAAGAAGTGATTAAAAGAGTACGCAAGGAATATCTTGTAAAAACTTATAAAGTTGATGGTTGGGAAACATCAACAGAATTTTTAGAAAAATTAGCGGCAAGAACTGGCAAGCTTTTAAAAAAAGGTGAACCTGACATAAGTTCTGTTGCTAAAATGGTACTTAATGACTGGCAAAGGGGAAAGCTACCATTCTATGTTGCACCTGAAGGTTTTGAAATTCCTTTATCAAAACAAACTAAAGAGAGTCACTCAACTGACGTTCCAGTACAGTCAACTACAGAGACAACAAATGTAGACCCAAAAGAAACACCTAACACAGAATTGAAAGAGGATAATATAGAGAAACCAACACTTACTGTTAATAAATTAGTTATAGCCCAAGATTTTGCTAAAATAAGGGTTGGGTTGCAGTTTGACAATGAAGATGATGTCAAACCATTAGACAAAATCACAATACCAGAAGAGCTGCAAGGAATTGATGAACAAAATACTGAAGTTTCACTGGAACAAAATAAGAGCAATTTAGACAATTCTACAGTGGATGAAAAGCCTAATAACATTGAAAATGATGAGAATAGTGACTCAGATATAAGTAGTTTCTATAGTAATGATGAGGATGTGTGCAGCGACGTTGAAGACTACTTAACACATGATCCAGAGACTGTTAAAGAAATGAGGCAACAAAAAATTAAGGCTGCTAGTGGTACATTTGTTATTGAAGAGGTTGCACAGAATGCTATGAAACGGAAAATCCTTCAAAATGGTGACGCTCCGCAAAAAGCTAAAATGACAGCAAAAAGAAGAAGAGCTATAGAAAGAGCCCAGAAACGCACGAAAACAGGAAGCAACTTCTATGAAGTTTCTAATGTTAAAAATAGGAACAGAAATAAGAAAAAGCCCAAACTTCTATTTTAATTTTTGATAACATTTTGTTTTCTTAAATTACTATTTTTTCTAGTAATAGACATTACTTTAATATTATGTTGTACCTTATATAAACTTGAAAATATAACAATCCGTTTGAAACCCAGTGCATTTCCCATATTACTATTTTACTATTAGGTTAATTATAGTCTATCCAACTGATACATGTGTGAGTCATACAAAGCCTAAATAAATTGAGACCAAACATTTAATAAGATTAAAGAGAGCATATTTGACTCGTTTTCATCTTAAAATGGTGCGAAGGAGCATTTAAACAACTCTTCAAGATTTTGCAAAGATAAGAAGATTTAAAGGGGAAACAGTGAGAGTTAGATGAAATGAAATGGTTAGCAGTTAATGTGGTGTGATCACTGTGCCTTTTAGTAGTGTCCTAATAGAAAATAATAATATTAATCCAGATGTAATATAAAACTAATCTTCTTTCTTAGTTTGAACAATTCTAGGTTTTTATTTAATTTTAATTAGTAATAAAATAAACCTACCAATAAATGTTTTTCTATTTATCTAAGTTTTATTAAATTGGTCTTTTCAGGATGTCATCTGGAAGTGAAAGTGATGACGATTATGTACCTGCGGAACCTGAAAAGGTCTCGGAAGAGGAATCTGCTGATGAAGAAACAGAGAAACAATACGAAAATGAAGTTGAAAATAGGAAGAGAAAAGGCCTACCGCCACGAAAAGGTAAAAAGAAATTAAAAACAAAAAACGCGACACCCTTAGAAGAAGCAGTTGAAGTGAATAAAGAATGTGCAAAAGACCCTGAAGACGAGAAAAAAAGGGAAGAAGACTTATGGGAAAAATTTTTAGAAGGAACCGACTCTAAACCAAAACAAAAAACGGAAGAAACAACTGTGATACCAAATAAAAAAGATGAAAGAGATTCAGATAAGGATAAGACTAAGTTAAATAAACCAGTCACTGAATCAGATAAGGACAGAGAGAGAAGGATTTTTGAGTTTGCTGGAGAAACTATTGTTGTAGAAAATAATGTTATTAAAGAGAAAGTGAAAACGTCAGAGAAACCGGCTTCAGGTACAGTTTTAACTTGATTTTTAATATTAATTCTCTTATCAATATATATTTTTCCTATCTCCACATATATATTGTTTAATTATACATCCCAGGACCCATACTACTATGAAAAGAATACTTTTACAACATAGCTAAGGGCTTGTTAAAAATATATATATATATATAATATATTGAAAATGTTGTTTTGAGGGGCAATAACTAATAACAGTGTGTGTTTTTTACTCTGTATATATTTGTTTTTTTTTTTGTAATACATGATAATACGTTCCAGCGCTTGAGGGAGGCCCTGTTCAACCAGTTAGAAGTACAGGAGGCCTCTCAAATATCGTAGGCCAGCTCAACAAAAAGAACACTCTGTCAACTCTGGAAAAATCTAAGTTAGATTGGAACACATACAAAAAAGAGGAAGGCATTGAAGAAGAAATTACAAGTCACAATAAAGGAAGAGACGGGTAAATAATAAAGCTATCGTCTATAGTTTACGCGAGTAGTACGCCTTTAAATAAAACACTTTAACGGTTTAAAACGCGATATATTAGTTAAACTCTTTTGAAAAGGATTTTTTTCTTGAAATGAAACGTTGGGCCGAAGTTAAAAACCATTTTCAAATAAGTTTTACTAATATATCGCGTTTTAAACCATTAAAGTGTTTTACTTAAATAAAGCTGTCGTTAGAAATATCAATGTATAAAAATGATATTAAATTAGTTTCTTATGACCAATCAATGGCATTGTTTTTTAGTGGAATTTGGTCTAAATCAGGGATGCACAGAGCAGGAGGCGCCGGTCGAAAACTGGTGGTCCGCTGACAGCAAAAATAATACTTAAATTAATGAATTATTTTTCCATTTTAATACATTATTATCAACTGTTTATTGTCTTTAAATATTTAAATTTAATAAGCAGCTATCAATAAATTTTTTGCCTGAGTGGCCCCCTATAAGTCTTTGCATCGCTGGTCTAAATGTATGTTCTTGCTAACGGAAAAATCTTTTAAAGTTATAACTTCATAATTCCTAAACTTTTTCAAGTTCAATATGCAAACTTATTGCAATAATTTCAAAATAAACAAGCAACAATAACAAGAAGGGAGTTCTAGAGTGTTATATTATATACTTATATAGTTTACGCGAGTAGTACACATTTAAATAAAACACTTTAACGGTTTAAAACGCGATATATTAGTTAAACTTATTTGAAAATGATTTTTAACTTCGGCCCGACTTTCGGATGCTTTGCAGCTCCCCGTGGTCACGGGGAGACTAAAGATGGAGGATGTCTCTGACGTCAAAGTAAAAAATTTCTACGCTAGCGCTATCTGTTCCGTCAAGTTGGTATTCGAAAGCTGCAAAGCATCCGAAACGTCGGGCCGAAGTTAAAAATCATTTTCAAATAAGTTTAACTAATATATCGCGTTTTAAACCGTTAAAGTGTTTTATTTAAAGTGTTAATTATAGCTAATATATTATTTTTATAGGTACTTGGATCGCCAAGATTTTCTTGGAAGAGCAGACCTACGCCAATATGAAATCGAACGTGACTTAAGGACGACTAGACGTAGTAACCGATGAAATAAAATGTTCGGTAATAAATACAATTATTCGTCACAACACCATCACTACCTGCAAAGCCCTTTTGATAAATCTCATTAAAGTTTATGTGCTTATTTTGGTGTTTTATTGAAAGACAAATAAAATTATTTTATTACTTAATCTATAGCCCCGCCTTTGTAGCTAACTAGTTAATCGCCCAGCGATCGCAATCGATTTTCGCGAGAGGTCTTGGGTTCGAATTCCGGACAAACAATATATTATCGGTCGGGAAGGCATAGTAGTCAGATCAACTGCTTCCCTGTGAATAAAACCGATCAGTGAGAGACACAGAAATGTGTGCACTCCATGACCCACAGAGAAAACGGTGCACTTCGCTTCTAAACATTCATAACGACATTTATAGGCCAAGACCACACCGCATTAGCTAAGGTGTGATGCCTGTCTATCCATAATGAACGCTTAAAAGAAGCACTATGGAAGAGCAAGAGAAAAGCGCTGCTTACTTATTCTGCCAACAGGAAATTAGTTGGAAGTAATTTAAATTAAGCTTAATAAATTAATACGCGTTGGCAATTAACATTAGCCAATAAATTTTTGCTGGTACCAGAACTTTTGGTCCTTTTCCTCAGGTTAGAACCCCGTATTTATATACTCTTTCCAAAAAATTATAATGAATTGTAAATTTACATAGTGCCATCATGTGCAAATAACACGTGAAAAATATTAAAGTTTTTTTTTACTACTGAACGAAATGGGAAAAATATTACTCACCTTATAATAAATTAAAGAAAATTTAAATTAAATGTTGAGATACTATAAATCATATAAAGATAATTTTTCGTAACCGAGTTTACGTGGGTTTATAAGCACGCACTATTATCCTGTGGTAACCACGTTAGCGTTACAATCAGTTCAATTCGTTTAATTAAATTGCATTCATTCTAGTATATAAGTATTTATATATCATTATTATTTTTTGTGCAATAAATAAATTTAACAACAGCAGTACAACATACCGCCTGGCTACGTTTACGGTTGGTACAAGCGACACGAACGGCGAAGCGATAATTCGCGCGACTTTGTTGCTTAATCAGTACTATATAGTATTCGTGAGTTTCTTTGGCTTACTAGCCATTGTAGATGCCTTGCTATATGTTACTTTTAGCCGCTAAACACATCGTCGTTCCATCCAGAGTTAGAGTCGTTGTTATCAAAGGTTTCAGTTTACATAAATAGCCGGGCCCTCGAGGCGTATTAACGGAGCGTCATTGGCCGATGCATTGTGTCGGGTCAATTACTATCGCAAGCAATTCCACAAGGCCCATTTCATCCGTTCTGTTCAATCACGTCAATGAATATGACTTGGGGCAATCAATTTCAATATTAAAGTTGCATATACACGAACGTTTTTAACGCAGATAAATGATTCAACAAGTACCTAATAAGCCTGAATAGAAAATATTAAAACAATAGGAACAGTCTGTACACATACTTTACACTCCAAGTTACTACGTATGTACTATAAATAAGTATATTAAGTAGAGTTTGAAATATTATACAAGATAAAAAAATTCTTGTTTTATTGAATTTCGATGTCGGTAAATCAAGTGAGCAATGCTCTGTACTACTGATAACCTACTTTTTATTAGTAAATTGATAAAAACGAGAAATTGGTGGAAGACGTTTGAAGTCGACAGTTACTTTTCTACGTAGACAAAGTCATACCCAAAGTTTAAAGAAGAAATGTATAATTTCAAGAAAAGAAAGTATAAGTGCTTACTTCGTATTATAAGTTACGTCACTGTGTAATAGAGTATCTTACCTAACCAAAGTAAACCCAAAATATTGAGATATAAAGAAGATATTGTGTCATGTGAGAAAACGTTGCATATTTTTTTTATTTCCCGTTTTAAACCGTTAAAGTATCTTACATTGTCAGCGTGAACTAGAGACTATTTGTTATTTATACTTAAACGCTAGTGTATAATGGTCCTAACCTTACAGACATAGACCATTTCGCAGTATGCTGAACAAGCACTAAATAGTGTTTTGTCACTACTGTGTCATAGGCGTCTTACACTTCACTCGTGCGCATGTTTTTTGTTCTTATGCAATTTTACATATTTTTTCATTAAGTTATGTGAATGGATTGTGTTTTGTGCTTGTGAAAATGGCGGCGTTTGGAAGATGGACTATGTTTGAAACCACGATGGAACATGTTCAGGTATTTATAAGAATATTTATATAATTTTAACATTAAAAAATTGTATAACTGAGTACTATATCAAGTATACATTTTGACTTCCAACTTATACAGTAGAATTGAAAAATGCTGATTGCATAGACGGAAATTCTCAAAGAAACCTAACTTCACTCACTTTACTAACTTTAAGTTATAAACGTTACTTGTTATAATAAACTAGCTGTGCCCGTGACTTTTTCCGTGTAAAATAAATATTTGGGTATCAATATTCGTTTTTGCAAACCTTCTAATCTTTATAAGTTTAAGCTGTTACCCACGACGTCGTGGTCGTCCGCGTCTTGGTTTTCTTGCAAGTTAATTCTAGAAGATAGACATACTGTCGTGGACATTTTTTTAGATAATTGAAAGAGGAATCATTCTTTCTGACTTATTTTTTGGATATATTTTATTATTTCGGTATTGTAATCGCAAATTTTGCTCATTGGGCGACAGTAACCTAATTAGGTTAAAGCCTACTAAATAAAGATTAAAAAAAAAAAAATTTGGAATCTTGAATCTTTTTCGTCAACTCAACAGTACGTAGATATATATATTTTTCTGTTTTATGGTCGTATTGGGTCGTATTGGTCACGCCTGATGTTTTCGAACCAATAGCTTTTTAACACATTTAGACAACTTTTCTAATATTAGTATAGATAAATGATAGTTATTTGTGAATGTACACCCTCATTACAAGCAACACTACTACATATCAAAATTTTAAGTCATCCTAAGCTTATTCCGGATTTCGATCGTTATAGTATCATGTTTATAAATATGTAAATTAATATTTTTCATGACATACTTGTGATGTTTTTAGTGTTACAATACATTTCTTTATGAAATTAACTTTTAAAGTCCTCTAATGATAATTATAAATATACCCTTATTTATAATTAAAGATCAAGCCGCTTACACTTTCCAATAACAAAGATTTATGAGTTGTGAATGGATAAAATGTGCATCAGTGGGTTAGGTTTCGCCCACGGTTGTGCAGGCATTGTGAATTGACGTAATCTGGAACGGTGAACGTTACGGAAAGGAAAAGTGGGCGAACCACCTAACTTTATAGCCTCGGCGGCGCCTACGCATGTCTACCCTTCTAAAATATTCACACAATACCAACATGGAAAACGGGAATCACTATTAAAAAAAAAGCTAATCTAAACTTGATACAACTCCTGGCACTTTTATACAAGCAATAAGTAAGCCGAATCTCCTTCCATTTTTAAAAAGTTTATTTAATTTCTCGTAACTTCCTTGTTGTTTATATGTTGATTCCCTGAATATTTTAATTGTTGCCTGAAAGAAATTTCTCATAGCAATAAGGCCGCCCATTGCGACTTTTAATTTAATTTATTTTGTAAACATTATTATTACTGTCTGTAGTTTACGCGAGTCTACGATTTAAAAAAGACACTAGCGGTTAAAAATGTGAAATATATTAGTTAAACTTTTTTTTTAATTATTTCAACTACGGCCCGACGTTTCGGTTGCTTCGCAGGAGTAAGCGGATGCTTTCTAAACAAGTTTAAGGTAATAAACGTTTTAAATTTCAAGTGTTTTATTTTAATATTATTATTATTGTTTTAGTTATAAGTATTATTTCTATTAATAAAGGCAATAAAGTTTTTTTTATTCACTAACCAATGAGAATCTCTTTGTTATAATTGATAAAATGTTTTCGAAGTGTAACTAACAAACGTTACCGCCTACCTATAGTCCTTTTAATTTATGTTTTTCCTTCACCTCTGGTGGCCTGGAAGAGATCGCTGTCTAGCGATAAGACCGCTTTTTAGTTATAAGCTACAAGTCTTTATTCTTGTAAACGATAAAAATAATGTCTAAGTTTCGAAACAGGACATCCATTGTACTTAATAATATTTGTTCAGGTGTGCTTGTGTTATATTAAACTTGAAATGAATGAGCTACAGCGGTATGTAGATTTGCGCATGTGTACAAGATAAGCGCACTACGTCTGTTGTCTATGGCACGTGTCCGTGTGATACTAAACTCCCGGGGAGAGATGGAGGCTGCGTGGTACGAGATCATAGTGGGCCGAACGAAACCGCGAGGTCCCTGCGCGCGACTAGAGTGGCAACTCCCATAGCGCTTTTGGCGCTAAACTTGTGTTCACTCGTTACTGTGAGAGCTTTAAGCTTTATTGGTTTTTATAGGACAAAGTTACAAGTGTGTACTTTGATACTTTATATGTTCAACAATACATGTGCGTTTTGCAATTTTCTTTGTTTGTTGTGATTTCGTTTTATAATTTTGAATTTTCATAATATATTACAAAAACTACTTTCTTATAAGCTGCATTATGTTCATACATAACATTGCTTGTCCTTAAAAGTACATATAATTAAAAAATTACTACGTACATAGGTACAGGCAAAAATAAAATATTAGGTTTATAGGCATTCCTTTTACAATTTCAAAAAATATTTAGATTCGTCAAAACTGTTTGTCTGTCTATCTGTCGTGATTCTACAGTGTTCCAAAGTGCAACATGGCCGAGAAGAACACCCAAGGAACTCAGTGCGGTTTTTATAAACATGTTAAACTAATACATTTTTTTGAACTCATTAACCTAAGGAGCAATTCATATCACTGCCAGGAATCCTTGTCATTAAAGAAATCGTGCAAACAATAATACGCCTTTTGAGAGAATCTAAATTTTATGACTTTTTAAAACTTATTTATTAATAAATTACGAACCTAACTGGAAATGTATTAATACGCAATTGATTAGTTGTTTTATGAAACCTTTATTTGGGGATAGCTAGTTTATCCTTATTTCTTAAGTTCAAATTATGTCTTTCACTATTCTTGCTGAACTTGCTTTTATTCTTATGGGCATACAATAAATTTTCATAAATATTCTGCGAGTACACATTAACGATTTTAAACTCGATGTATAGTAGTCAAAGTAACACTGAAAAATCAAACTACACAATACTTACGTGAAAGATAATCAACTCAGCGCACCAGATCTATCTATATTTTAAAAATAACTAAGCGCTTTATGTTATATGAGTTAGCGCCGTCATTACTCGAGGAGTTAACGTAATACAACCAAAGGGGCTGGGGTCTGTGGAACCGCGCTGAGCACGCTCGCAGCCAGTCAGTCAAACGCCCGCGCTGGTAAAGACGTATGTAGACCCGTCGCGTCATACTCGCTTATCGTATTCAATTGTGCTGATCTGATAGTGTCGATGAAAATTCGTCAGGTGCAATTTGATTTTACCTGTGTGTTGGGTTTGTTGAGAAAAAGTGTATGTGTTGAGGTCTGTGACCGTCGGCGGGCGTAGTTGAGGCCGTAGTGGCGGGTCGGTGGATGGTGCAGCGAGGGCGGGCGCCGGGGTGCGGCCGGCGGCGCCGCTAGCAAAATGTCGATACCCCTCGGCCGGGAAACTGTGCTCCCCACGCAGGTGAGTTTACGCTTTCCTCCCTTTTCCCAATGTGCGTGCGACCCGTGCGTCGCGTGAAACGATCAAACGGTAACCATAGTGTGAAAACAATACGGCTTTTTTACTCGTTACATTTCGATTTCCGAACATTTCAGTGAATATTAGAATTATTATATCTATCCGTTTGATAAATTCATTATTGTAGTGACTGTGAAGTTATGTTTTTGTTGAGAATTCGATGACGGTAGGTGTTTTCAGTTTGTTGTATGCATATAAAAAAGTCCTAGATTAGAAGCAATGTTATCGAGAATAAATTTAACTAAAATGATCTCGTGGTGTCGAATCTACTTGCTAGTACTTCAGGAGTTTCTCTTCCACAGTTAAATTCCAATTTTAAATTTAAGCCTTGTTTCTGTATTAAGCAATCAGTACCAACACGATAAAAATGTAATTATGTTTGGATGGCGTGTACTTTTAACACTTTAGAAGTATATACTCTATTTTTATTTATTTATAATTTTTTGCACATTTTTCATTTTGTTATAAAATGCTTAATTTTAATTTATAAGTGTGTATAATAAATAAACTATAGTTATTAACGATATCAGATAAGATTTAGTATTTGTACCACAGCTGGCCCCGTAAGGCTTACGTGATCAATGATAATAAAACGATAGCAATGTTTATCAAACGACTTATCGCGAATAAACAGAAAAACAACACACGGCTGCCTAGATTTTGCGTAGTTCTTTGAGGCAGTTATTTGTGAATAAATATGGTGCCTGAATCATCATAATTTCAGATTATTAAGGCATGTGGGAGCTCATATACATTATTTTTTATTAAAAAAACTTACATACAGGCGGGACTCGAACTAGTTAGTGTTTGGTAAAGCTGGGTAGGTCATGATTATACGACTATTGATAGATAATATATTAGTTAGATTCCTAAATCTAAGATCTTGGAGAAGATACCTTACATTCACGTAGCATATTTTATAAAGATATATCTTTAGCTTACACACGTGATATATTAAATAAAACCCTTTTTGACGGTTTATAACACGGATTTTAACAGTTTATAATTTTTAACAACATATACAATAGCTGTAGCCATGCTGTAAAGCGTTCAAAACGTAATTTAAGGATAATTAAATAATATAGTACATACTGAATCGAAAATTCGACAAGTCTTTGAAACATTTCTTGATATAATCGTATAACATTATGAGTTATGGTGGGAACGAATAAGGCTTTCTTGGCAGGCTATTTTCAGCGAGCAGCTGAGTTCAAGGCTCTATTGATCCGTAGCCAAGCTAGGCGGGTACAAGGTTGGGCAATTATTTCAGTCATTATTTTTAAATACTGTCCGTAGTTAGCGAGTAGTACACATTTAAATAAAACACTGACTGTGTAAAACGCGATATATATTAGTTAAATTTATCTGGAAATTATTTCAACTAAGGCCCGACGTTTCGGATGCTTAGCAACAGTTGTGGTCACGTTTAAAACTGTTATAGTATTTTATGTATTCTTTTTAGCTTTCTAGATATTATGTTCTGTCGGCTTGAACGTATTAACGTTGGACAACCACGCTACTCCAATATGGCCTGGTGGACTATCACGATAACTACCACTAAATTAGTTGTTATAAACAAGAAAACGTTCATAAAAATTACCAGAAACATTATAAATACCAAAGTTAGCCTACCCCGAGCATCAAAACTGAAAATTTGTAATCTATTGTCCTTTTTTTTTGTTAGCTATATTTCACTAACCAGAAAGTTAGACCAACGATAAAGTTTATGATCAAATGTGACTGACGTATTAGCCATGATTCATAACCAAAACATCTTTTATTTTTATATAAAGAGTTGTAAATAGAAAATTTGAATAAATTTAGTAAATAATTATGATTACACGAACCTAGATAATGATGCGATACGCAACTGCGCCCGCGCATGTTCTACTCTACTTACATTGCTTCAAAATGAGTCACGTCTCGCGAGCCTTCGTTAAAAATCATACTTTCAAAATTACTTATCAATAGCAAATTAAGAAGCGATTAATTCTAGTCTTAGTTACAACTATTTGTTGAATACTGTCTGTAGTTTACGGGAGTAGTATCTAGATAGATTTAAATAAAACACTTTAACGGTTTAAAACAGGGAGACTTGTCTTGACCACGGCTGCTGCAAAACATCCGAAACGTCGGGCCGTAGTCCAAATAGTGTCCAGATAAGATTTACTAATATATATATCGCGCTGGGTAGAATGTTACTTATTTATTCTTTGCTATTCTTATAAGAAAATGTCTACCAGTAACTAGTTCGAAGTTTAAAAGAAGATTCTATTTTTTTATGATAGGGGAGGACAGACGAGAATGGCGTTGGTAAAATAGGCATATAAAATCTAAACAAGATGTGGTGTCGTCCTATTTTGTCTCTGGATATTCGGAAATCAACAAACTGAAACCAAAACGCGATTAACTTGATCGCGACTTTTTCATTTATCATGACCTG